ACAACTGTGTCAGTCGTTGGCGCGCTACATTTTGCGCGCCAGACTGCATTCACACGCCTGGTCAGCGACGATGAGGAATGGCCGATCGTCGAAGAGGCACCTCAATTCGGCTGGTAGACTTTTGCCGCCTAATTGAATCCATTCGCAGGTGCAGAATCCTCAGCTCTCTCGGACGGCAGTGCCAGTGGCGAGTCCTGCAATGAGCCGTCGATTGTCCACCATTGGCGATTGTCGCTTCTATGGCTGCAACCACCTGCCCACCTGCATCAGGGGCGTTTACCCTAGTGCACCTTGTCACCTTGTTGCATCTGCTTGCCTCCATAGCTTACGCTAATCCGCCACTCATTCACTACTCGCACAACATGAGAATTCTAAAGATTCCAGTGCACACTGAACCAGGAAGCATCGTCTATCGGTAAGTGATTCTAGATAAGGTCTATTAAGAAAAAAATATTTATACACAACAACACTAGAATTAAAGCATCTGATGCCGACAATGAAAATGTCGTATTTGGTAAGAGCATTTCTTTTATTCGCAGTGTAAATTAGTGATAAGCGTTCTTAAAAATGTAGGTGTGCTAGAAGACTATGGTCAAGCTTTACTGCGCTTTGACAAGGCCAATCACCATGAAGCAAATGTCGTGCTTCTTTTGCCACTTCAGGTAAAATGCAGGTTAATTACTTTTGCCAGCTTAAAAATTTGNGTAAGAGCATTTCTTTTATTTGCAGTGTAAATTAGTGATAAACGTTCTTAAAAATATAGGTGTGCTAGAAGACTATGGTCAAGCTTTACTGCGTTTTGACAAAGCCAATCACCATGAAGCAAATGTCGTGCTTCTTTTGCCACTTCAGGTAAAATGCAGGTTAATTACTTTTGCCAGCTTGAAATTTTTCATATTTAAAATTAGGAAAACGACGAATTCAACTTGACCGTTTACGCAACTGACAACAACGAGTCAACGTACATTGAATCAAGACTGATTGCCACTACTGTTCCTGCTGTTCAGATTACTCTGACTCCACTAGTTCTCCAGCAAAATCCCGTTTATGTGAATGAAGTAATTGTTACAGTTCATAGTGTAAAGTAATTTTAAAATGCATTTCTGATGCCATTTCCACAGAATGAAACACTCAACCGATCGATTGCCACTGTTCGCGCTTATGATCGGGAAGACAGCAAACTGCCGGTCACATTTGAACTGCTGGTACGATTGCACATGTCAAAAACATCCAAAGCAAACCTAACAGTGCCTTTTTTCAGGAAAACACCAACTTGTTTGACTTTAACTACGTCTTTGGGCCCAGAGGCATGAGCACCGCCGAGTTGGTGCTCATAAACAAACTAGATTATGAAAAGCAAAACTTGTACATTCTAACATTGCTGGCCATAGTAAGATTGGACAGGGTTTTAAATATTATCAATCAACAGTCGTACTTTTATCTTTTAGAACGCACAAACAAACGAAGAAGTGGACACACGTAATGTTCACACTGTCACGCTCTCAATCGTAGTACAAGACGTCCAAGACAGTCCACCTGTGTTTACCAATTTGCCTCAACTAGTGTCCATTGATGTTGAACACCATCAAATGGTAAAAAGTTTTGAAAAAAAGACAAAGTACTTTGCTAATTGCCAGAATCTTTCAGAGTGATATTATCTACAATGTGACAGCTCACGATGGTGACACGGTAAACCAGCGAAACGTCACCTTTTCTATTTTAGGTAATGCTCAAACTACTTGAAAACAGATTAAGGTTAATTTTTTTCACTATAGAGCCAAACAAGGAGATCTTTCGGATAACCAGCAACGGCAGTGTCTACTTGCTAAAGTCTCCTGAAGAGATTGGCGACATCTTTAGCGAGCACAAGCCAGCACAGGTGGACATTCAAGCCAATGAAATTGTGCTCAGCGATGAGCTGCTGGAGAATAAAGACACATCATCGGTGTCACAACTGCTAGTCCGTTTTGTCAGTGCCAACCGTCCGCCCCAATACAAAGCCGACCACCTCGTGGGCCACATTGACGAGCACAGTGCCCCTCACAGTGCAGTCGTCTGGCAGGTGGAAGGCGATCTGGCACAGGTGCTCGACCTCGACCAGGGTCTGAACGGCACCATTGCGTTGGAGCTCATTGACGCTGAAGGCACCTTTACCATTGAGCCCAGTGTCGCCTATCGACAGGCGAAGTTTACCCTTTTAGTCAACGATTCAGCATCGCTTGACTTTGAAACACGACGCAACCTTTCTGTGATGGTTTGTAGTGATCTAGTTTGTAGTGATTCAGTTTAAAAACTTGTTTACAAGTGTCATTTTTTAGATTATAGCCAAAGACAAATCGGAAGAAGCCGCACTCTCAAGCAATATTACCTGCACAATTTTTATCGACGATATAAATGGTAATGAGAATAACAGTGATAACAGAAACTGATGATTATGTTGTCGCAGATAACTACCCTCAATTCAGCGAGCGACTGTACGAAAGTGCAATTTACGAGAATGCACCGGAAGGCTCCAGTGTTGCGCAAATAGTTGCCACCGATAAGGACAGCGGCGATTTTGGCCAAGTCCGCTTCACCGGACTGAAAGGCATTTTTGCCAAAAGGTAAACTGTCATTTGGTGATCACTCATCCTCTTTATTTGGCGCTAACTACATGTACCACTGCAGTCTGGCCATCGATTCCATCAGTGGCATTGTCAAGCTGACCAACAACTCAGAACTTGACCGAGAGCTGGTGGCCGAGTATGTCGTCACAGTGGAGGCAAGAGATAATCTGGGCACGGGAAATCTCAACACAACTGAACTACACATTCGAGTGCTTGACGTCAATGGTAGCCTTTGGTAGTCTTCTAGCACAATGAATAAATAATGTCTCCTTGTTTCTACCGCAGACAATCCGCCAATTTTTCTACAGCCAAGCTACCTGGCACTGCTAAACAGCGAGATGACCAGTTTTGTACAGCCACTGCAAATGTCAGGCAAGTGTGTGTGTGTTTGTGAAAATAAATGAAAATAGTTCCAAGGTGAACTTTGTTGATGAATATTTCTCTTTCTACAGCCATTGACATTGACGAAATGAACAACAGCAACAGTGTGGTCAACTATGAAATTCTTCAGGGCAACTACGAGGGTCTCTTCACCATTGATCAGCACTCGGGTAAGGTGGCGGTCAGGGAAAGTGCTGGAGAAAAGCGACTGTCACCGGGTGACGGCAGCAACATTACCCTCACTGTTCGAGCCTATGACTTGGGCGTTCCGCAGCTGTCGAGTACTACGCTGATATTTATCTACACAATGGTAAACAACTAATTCTGCAATTTTTCCATGAATAATGTTCTTTTTCTAGAATCGACCTAACACCATAAAGGCACACTTTATTAGCAAGAGACGCATTTCCCCACTGTCGGGTCATGAATCGCTGGAAAAGTAATGCACATAAGCCTAACACCTGCACAATGCCTGATACTTTACACTTGCACACAGGGCTCTCAGCGACATTACCGGAGGAAACGTGACTATCAGTGAAGTCAAGCCAGAAAAAGAATCCCAGCCCAATTCGATAGCTGCCTCTGTGCAGTACCGCAACGAATCAATCAGTAAGTTTAAAGGCAGTGAGTGTTGAAACGAAGATTACTAAAAGCAACCTGTACAATAGTGGATTTAGACGTCATGGCAAAAGCTCTTGATCGACTAGTAGTGCGGGATGGTAGCCACTTTGAGCCGGATAAGCATGTGGAGCGGGAAACGGAAATCATACCGACGAAAGGAAACACTGACCAGAATGCTAGTAACCGTCAGGTGCACAATCACAATGATGATGGCAAACAGGAACAAAGTGGCAGTAGCAATCAGGTGACCACTTCCACCACCAACAACAGCAACAGAGAAGTGATTTCATCTCGACTCTTTCACACCTCTCAATGGGGCAATCTCGATTTGTTACTTTGGATTATGATTATTCTTATTCTCTTTCTCCTCATCATTCTCATTTACTTGCTCTGTCTACTATGCAAAGACAAAGGGTAAGTAATTTCAATCAGTTAAAGTATCATCTGTAAACATTGTACTTTTTTCAACACAGAAAAAGCAAAACGATAATTACTCAAACTGAAGTGCCAACAAGCAATCCAGTGCTCAGCAATGGAAGGTCTGTTGTTCGAGCAAAAAGACGAAAGTCTCGTCCAGTACGCAATGCCAACAAGGTCGTCGATGTCTCCAAGAAGGTGGACTCCATCGTCACCGTAGCACTGGAGGATGAACAAAGCAGTAGGGACCAAAGTTTTGACGTGGAAGAAGAGAAGAAATACGCCACAAAGACGACCGATAACATGGTGACTTACTACGAGTACAAGAGACTTCGCTATCCAAAGCAAAATGAAGTGAAAACCACAAATGTGCTCACACTGGAACGGATGGACCCAACAGTGGACAACTCTCCAAACATTGACCATGACCAGCAGATTGAGGGCAATGCTGGTCAGGTCAGCTTTCTCAATGTGCCTACAAACATCGCCACCAATGAAGCTGAAGAGGGAACTAGAATAGCAACAACCAAACCAGTGTCTTTTTCGGTAATGCAAACGCAACAAAACTCCTCAGTCCGCATTGACGGCGGAGCCTATCCGGCGCACAATTTGTTTGAAGGTGCAGCCATTGACATGGCAGGCGAGAACAACATGCGATCCGGCAGCTACCGGAACCTGCAGAAGAAGAGCATCTTCGCCATCACCTACGACCGCATCAACAGCAGGGAAAACATTTCCGCTGGTTCAGAGAATGTGAACTAGTCTGGTCACCTTCTCTAACCTGATTTCACCGTCCAGATTCTCAATGCAACCAATTCACTGCCAGGTGGTGTGGCACCCCCCTCCACTTCACAGGCTGTTTGTAAATGTATTTGTTAAGTAACTTTGTTAAACATTTTTTACATATACACATTTACCAAATGTCGAATTGCACAAAAGAAATAAAACAATAAGTAAAAGAATGAGTAAAGCACGCTATAACACAACTTCAGCTAAACTCTTCAGACCGTACTTCTCCAAAACGGTTAATGTCTTCTCGAGAGCGCAGCCACTTCGAACAATGCGAAAATGGCCTTCCGTTGAGAGATCAATTATGGTGGAGCCTAATCGATCGGGATCGATCTCGCCAAGTTCGCCGCCGTTGAAGACGGCACCTAGCGAAGGCCAGAGCACCTTAAACTCTTCCACGTTTAGGCAGCTGTTTTTCGTGCTTAGATTTGCGCTCGTCAGGGCTATTGGTCCTTTAAGCAGAGCGCATAAATTTTGGATAAACGGATAGTCTGGAACACGAATGCCCACGAGGTTGTGGTCAGGATTGAGGCACGCATTGAGAAGTCGGCCTCTCTTGAACATTACCGTAACTGCGCCCGGCAACAGCTCATGAAGAAGAGTATCAGGAACGGTCACCTCACTATACCTGGAGATATCCTCTACCTCGGCGACGCAAATTGCAAACGCCTTGTTGAAGTTTCGTTCTTTGACACTGTACAATCGCTGAATAGCTCGTTGACTATTGGCGTTGACGGCCAGACCATAAATGGTGTCGGTGGGAATGGCGATGATTTGATCATTCAGTAGGAAATTCTTTGCTACTTCAAGCAGTGACTGCACATTTCCTTTTCCTGGTGATGAAGTGATGTTGAACAGTTTAGCCATCTTGGACGCCAGTGATTCGGTGAATGGAGTTGTGGAGGTAGATTCGATGGTTTTATATGAGAGTTGATTGGAAATCTGATGCAAGAAGACACTTTGAATCGGCAACTGCCACTTGAAATCTGCGCCACGTGAGTTGCAAAACAAAATCACAACAAACAACGCTGCTGCGCTCTAGCGTGAGAATGTGCCGGTTCAGGATTCAAGCAACGAAGTGGCGCGGCTAGATTGGCCAAGAATCTCTGATTCCGTATTCCTTAGGCACGTCACCCAGCAGTTCAGTATCAATTTAGAAATAAATTTATTGCTTAAGAAAGGGCAATCAGCTTGCATTACATATAAAAATACAAAGGAATATAAATAAAAATTTCAATAAATAACAGGACTCTTTGAAAAAAGTGTTTTCAGTAAAAATAAAATCAGGACGCCATCGAATATAAGAAGTTAAGATCACAAGCGCACTTTGATTAAGAATCAGTTCATTCTTCGATAGGCGGTGGCACTAAAGGCAATGTGTTGGCGGCATTTTGTGTCAGGTATCCCGCAATGTTCACGGTTGGGCCTAAAAGGGCAAAAAATATAAGTTTGAGGATATTCTAGTTATGATAAGAAATGACCGAGCTCTTACCGGTAAGATATTGCGTAGTGTTATTGTGTGTGATAAACAAATCGTGTTTTTGATCCTTGAACTCATTCCAAACGTTAGACTTGGCCAGAATTTCAGTAATCTGCTGCCCGAGAATGGGATTCAGCTGGATGCACTGCAGCATCTGCACAACTTTAGCCTTGGTAGACTGACTAGCGTTCGAATCGAGAATGTTCAGTAGCCGCTTGATCAAATCACAGTGAATGGCCTGGTTGATAAAGTCGTTGTTGCCCGACTCGAAAACTTTGACGAGAACGTCACAGGCCAGCTCACTGTGATCAGGATGAGTTTCAAAGGCATTGTTGAGATTGTCGGCCAGGACGTTGGTTGCCATCATGTCGCTCACGCAGGCCGTCTCTCCGGCAAACTTGAGAAGTACGGCGAGACACGATTTAGCAATGACGTCATTTTTGGTTCGAAGCTTGTTTACAAAGATTGGAATGTAACCGGTGGGAGGAATCAGCAGCAACAGAGTGGGCTGAGATGAAAAGAGTGTGCAAATGGAAGCGGTAACCAGCTCCATTCTCTTTTCCTGTTTGATAAACAAAAGTTTGACAGTTAGAAAATGAAACAACCAATTCACTCCGAAACACTTACATCAAAGTTGGGCTTGTCCATGTTCTCCTTCATAAACTCAAACAGTCCCAGGAGGAAATCTTTAGGTCGACTGAGAATCCAGCCCGGACTTTGGTTGTAGAGTCGCAGGTACACACCGGCAATTCTAAACTCGCCATTGTCGATGGAGAGTGAAAGCTCATAGTCGGCATTCAACTTCCACGTAGAGGATGGATTGGCCAGTTGCGTCGAGTACAGGGTGCCCACCATTTTGGTGAGCTGTTCATTGAGAGTGGCTCGAGAGTCGTCTGTCCAGATGAGCTCGGGATTTTCCTGGTTCTCGTCGTACAGCGAGATGGCATTTGGCGGGCCGTCCTTCATTGCACTGAGAAAGAGTTCGGGCAAAAACTTTGAAAGAACCCATCGCGAGTATTGGCCGCTGAGCTTGTCGCTGCAAAGCTTAATCATCAGTTGGGCAGCCTTCTCCCGAACGACGTGAAAGTGAGGTGCTATGAAGAGATGCAACGAGTACAGCAGCACTCCCTTTGATATGCTCTCCTTGACGAGGTCAGTGTTGGAGGCAAACGAGATCATAATTTCCAACACATCCAGGTACACCTTTGACTTGGACTCGGTAATTTTGCTGTTGACGTGGAAAATGAGCAGCAGGTAGATGATGACACTTGAGTTGGAAATGTCATTGAGGCAGTCCTTGTTCGTGGAGAGGTTGATGATCAGCTGCAGCACTAGCGACTGCACTTCAGGATAGGAGTCCAGGCGAAGGAAGCTGAAAATGTACTTAAAATGGCACACAAAGTATATTTCAATGCCGCTGTTGTGCTTAATGAGGTTAATCAGCGCCAGCAGGCATTCCTTCATTGTGGCAATGCGACTCTCGTCAATGGCGACCGTGTCGTCCTTGGGAAATGAGACTGCCTTGATCGCGTGCAGGTACTGGGAGTGCGAACCGAGCGAGTCGAGCAGCGCAAAGACGAATCGCTTAACGTCCTTCAGTGGGAAGCCTGGCTGTGAGTTGTAGATGCGCACGAATATGTCGCCAATAATCAGCTCTTCTTTGTGAGAGGAAAAGACAAACTGCGTACCAAAAGAGCTGTCCATGACGATTCCACTGCGCAGCAGTTCCTTCTCCTGCTCCTGAAGGTAGTTGATCAGTTCAGATCGTGAGCTGTTGTTCCACATGAAGTAGGGGTTTTCCACGTTGCTGTTCAGCATCTTCAGCAGATCAGGCACATTTTCAAGGGTCAGTTGATTGGCAATGTACGGGGTAAGCAGGGCAAAGAGTGACTGTCGAATCATGGTGTAGTCGTCCAGTAGTGACTTGTCCTCAATCTGGGCACTGGCAAACTTGTTTTCAAACAGGGCGACGCAAGTGGAAAGGGCCTTTTTAGCCAGGGAATTGGACAGACACTGGCGATTATTCTTTTCGTTTGCCTCAAAGTCCGCCTCTTCCAAGGTGTAGTCGTACTTGAAGATAAACTGCAGCAGGCTGAAGACAATGCCCGACTTGAAGAGCAGCAACTGAAGATAGGGGTCATTGCAAAAGTGTATCACACAATCAATGGCGGCCATGCACAGCTTGATCAGGTGCTTGTAGTTGAGAATGTAGAAAATGTTCTTTGGCAGCTGAGCCATGTCGTAGAAGTAACGACGACAGGCGGGAAACTCCGCACTCACGCCAAAGCAGCTGACAATGTACTTGCAAACCTTGGTCGCCAGGTCTTTCGGCTTCGATGACGCCCCGAGGACGTCGACACATCGGTTGAGAATGCTGTACAGAATTTCCAGTCCCTCCTCGCGACGCAGCTCCTCGGCATTTAGCGCCGAACACCTGACACTGTGGTAGACCGTCTTGCAGGCGTGCGCCAGCAGTGGATTGTTCTTTGAGAAGAGGTACTGGTCGTCCATTTCCAGTTTGAGCGTCTTGAGGAGCATCGGATAGCCGGCATACTTGTACTGGTGCAGCTCCTGGCCGTGTCGAGAGAAGAGAATGCTCTGCGCCTTCAGGATCAGTATTATATTCTGCGGGTCAGGGCCACTCTGCTTGTGATTGCCTGAACAGAGAAAGTAATACGCCTCATTCACCTTTTCAAACATATCTCGGCCGTTTGGATTCTTGTCCGGATGGTAAATCTGCGCCTGCTGGTAGTAGCGCTTTCGAATCAGGCTCTCAAACTGAGCCCCGCTGAGGAGGCCGTCATAGTCCTTGATGCCCAGAATGTCCAGTGCATCCTCGAGTTGCATCGTGTTGGGCTTCTTTTCAATCTCCACCTTCCAAATCTCCAAAATGTTTTTCAGCAAAGTGACCGGCTCTTTGATTTTCCAATCCCCGAAACGCTTGGTGTCGCACAGGTTCTTCAGGTAGTAAATGTTGCAGAAGAGCTCATTCTCCAGCTGCGAGTAGCGAATCGGCGGAATAGGGCAGTACTGGTATATGGCTCGCACGTTTGACAGGAGGCGCGGACTAAAGTCGACAATGTGTGCGGCAATTCGCTCAATCATGAAGCGACGCATTTCAGAGTTCCAGATCACCTCGGGCGTGTCGTACTCGCCGAGAAAGACCTTGGAAAAGTCCTCTGGACCGTAGTTTTCCAGGTAGCAGACCATGGCTTCAGGCAGCAGCTGGCCGAGGATGCTGCGCTGCAGCACCGTCTGACTGGTTTCCTCGCTCTTGAATGACTGCTTCATGTGGGTAAGGTGAAGTAGGCGGCTGATGGGCAAAATGTTCGAGCCAGTGTACATGAGAATAAAGTAGAAGAGACCAGTCTGGTAGAGCAGCGATATGCGCGGGTTATCCTGCATGATGAGGTGCACCAGGGTGGCAATCTTCTCCACAATCACCGGGTCAAAGGTGAGCAGCAGGTGAATGAGGTGCGGAAGGCAGTTGTCATGAGACAGAAGCTGCTTCACTTTGGGCATCGGTCGAATGATGGAATCGTCTGAGCCACGACTGGGGTACGCCTCGCAGACTTTGATGAGAATGTTCAGAATGAGAATGGTCATGTCGTTCTCGTGAAAAATCGAGTTGTCCTCCGCCACCAGGGTCCACTTGAGCTGCGCAATTTGGCAAATTTTGTTCCACGTATTGTAGCCCTGTGCCCAGCACTTGGTCTCGGCCGTGATTTTGCCTTCCTGCCACTGCTCCTTCAAGTCGAGGAAGCTAAGTGTGCTGTCATTTTCAGTGGCCTTCTCCTGAACGTGCCACTCCTTCTCCATTGAGCCCTTCATCATCTCAGGCGAAGCCTCAATCACATTTGACTGCGTTGGAATGACGGCTCGGTTCACGTGGAGGTGAGACAGTGTGGCGAGATCAATGAGAATAAAGATGCCATTTGAGTCGACCAAGTTCTTAATGTTGATTCGATTTTTGATCAGCTTTTCTAGAAATTGCACAATGCGATCGCGAAGGACTCGATTGACTGCATCCTCGAGGATCTTAACCGTAAACTTGATGTCATTAAAAGGGCCAATCTCCTCGACGTACTCGCCGTAGATGATGGACATTGCCTGCAGACAGTCGGATTTCATCTTTAGTTTGCTGTTGGACAGGAATCGGTGGTAGAGGTTGTTGAAGAAATCATAGGGGTTTTTGATGAAGAGACGATTGGTTAGATTAGTTTCGCTGTTGAGTGAGTTCTCCTGCGTGAGCAACAGTCGCAAGTAGTAGTTGCCAATTTTGATTTCCTCGCTTAGCGAAAAGTATTTCACCTCAAACTCGTCGAAATTCCAGGAAATCAGCTGAGTAGCGTGAAGTTCTCTGTCAGAGTTAAACTGATAAATTTCCTTTTCCAGCGATTCTCGCAACTCTTCGCGCGTTTTGTGGTTCCAAATCAAATCAGGAATGGCGTGGTTCTGGGTAAACTGGTAGAAAAACATGTTCCAGTTGAGATTGGACTTGATCATCTCTCGCCGTCTTCTCAACACCACAGGCTGCTTATCTTCGGTCACCTCGAGAGATGAGGTGATGCCGATGCGTTTTCGCCAGTGATTGAAAACATCCTCCACCTGACGTTCGAGCATTCGCACCGCAGGGTAGTTGTCTCGAAGCTTTTGAATCTGCGACACTGACTTGTGGGAAATGTCCTGTGCAATTTTGAGATTATCTCGAGAGAGAATCACATTCATCGAGTCTTTCGGTGGCTTTTCAGTAGACTCGAGAAAGTTCAGCAGACCTAGTGGAAAGATGCTGTTCAGCAGTGTCAGTCCGGTCTCATTGTCGACCGTCCACAGGGAGAGCAGCTTGCGTGACAGAATTTGAATGGGGAAAAATTTGTCGCCCGACACAATTGGAAAGAGAGACGAGTGCAGGTGAAAGAGAAAGGTTCCCTCGGCCAGGGCAAGCTCTTGCATTCGGTGCGCCACCTGAGCGTTGCCCTCCTCGATGATGGCCTTCATCAGGAGACAGGTGGACTTGACGATGGAAAAGGACGGATGGTTGAAGAGCTTAAACAGACTACGACCCGATTTGGCCACCAGATTAAGCAGGGTGTCGAAGTGGCCGCCATCGGTCGTTTCACTGTAGGGGGCACAGAGCGCATAGATGAGAAACTCCAAAATGGAGGCGATGATTAGAGCGCCGGTGCCCTTGGCGACGTGGTGATTAATCAGCTCGAGGAGAATGGGCAAAAACCGCTCCGAGCTGAGTAGGAAGCCCTTGTTCTTTTGCTCAAAGAAGAGGTCAGTTTCGTCGTAGAAAGGCTGCAACAAGGTAGCATTAGGTTTAGTTTAGCAAAATGGTTTTAATTACAAAGTGCATACCTGCATTAGGGTGGAGAGCATATCAATTGCCGTAAAGGTAATCACGTCATTGTCACGACTCAACGCCTTCTTCACTTTGCCGAAGAGCAACTCGATCTCTCTGTCTTTCCACCGTCGATCAATGACAAAGTAGGAAAAGCCCGGTTTTGTGCAAAAGAGGTAGCGCAAAGCCAGCAGTTGATTATTGAAATCTTCATCCGAGGCGTCTTTAAAGTCGTCGGCAAGCAGCTCAGTTATTCCTGCTTGAATGTACTTTTCCGTGTCCTTTTTGTTGCTATCTTTGCTGTAGACGGTGGTTGGAGTGATGAAAGAATTTTGAATATAGAAATCAAGCGCTTGTGAAATTGTGAGGTCGCGAGTGCGAGCATGAATGTAGCGGACGGTTTCAATCTCTTGATGGCAAATAATTTTGTGGTGATTCAAGTCGAGCTTTACATGAACATTCACATTTCCAGATGTTCTGACGTTGTCGAGCAGCGAGGCAAGTAGAATATCACGCTCGGTTGAGGTGTAGCACCGTACATCTCCGTTTAGGTACTGAATGGAAAAAAGTTGAGAATCGGTCTTCGGCCGAACAATGGCGTAGATTTCCACCAACGAGCGAAGGTTGACAATTTCGTTAGTGTTGGCATCCCGCTCAAGCAGAAACTGGTCAGTGACCGCCAAGAAGCGCTTCTTTGCCAGGCTGCCCTTGTGTTCGCCGCCCACTTTAAAAACGGAAAAAGAGTGCAGCGGTGCAATTGAAGAGACGTCAACGCCAAGGCGGTGTGTGGTAAAGTGCTGCATAGCGACGGGTTCATTTGAAAGGGGAATGACTGTACCAATGTTTTTGCGGGCAATAAGGCGAATCCGGTCAAGTATTTCTCGGCGGACATTTTCATCACTTGCAACAAATAGATGCAGCTTTTCACTTTCAGTCGTTGAAATTACAAAAGCGGGCCCCAGTTCAAAGTCTTTAACGGTGGCCAGCTTGAAGATGTCCTTGTAGTAGTAAGTAGCTAGCACCTGCCCAGTGGAAGCATTCACCTTATTGACACTGTACACGCCCACGTCAAAGACAACTTTGCCATTTTCTCCGGTCCAGCGGTTTTTCAGGCAAGTGTACTTCTTGGTGCTTTCGCTAAACTTTGGCGAAAAGTTGGTGCAAACTTTGAACATGTCAGTGAGAATGTCGGCGCGATGCTTCGACTTGAACTTCATCTTTGCATTGGGAAAGTGGATGGAGAAGAACTGATCTGCCCCCGTGGTGACCGTGTTGTGGTCCTCCTCGCTGGTGATGGGGAAAAACTCTCGAATTTCATTGCAGTTGTAGCTGTTGGTCAGTTTGTAGTCGGACAGTTCGTGGGTGGCCACACACTGGCGCCCAATGACGAGAATCCGCCGAAGACTGGTGAGGTGAACAAGTGGTGGCAAAGGAAAAGAAGAAAGAAGAGATCAGAGACAATTGACAGGTGAGTCATCACAACAAACAGTGTCCGAACTTACCTCCCCCGCCATTGGTGCGACTTGACCACAAAGTAGCGGGAGACGGCGCCGTCTTGTAGCGCCGACATGTCAGAGCCAGAGTAGAAAATAGAAAATAGAATCGTAGTTTGCAGCAGGCGTTGCCGGTGGGAGACAAAGTGAAAGGGAGACACCAGCAACTGTCGATTGTGATGGGCTACAACTGGTGATGGAAGAAGAACAGAAGACGCGTATTTTCGCAAGCAAGAGTAGACTATTTCTAGTGTTAGATAATACGCCGACAGACTATTTACGCCCAGCGATGCCAAAGACAGAGCTTCGCGTTCTGGTAGCGGCCAGAGTCTGACAACTTTGCCTGCACCTGCAAAAGGTTAGGCTGCACTGTCACTGTGCTTTGCAAAGATTACAGCCGTAAAGAAAAGGAAAAATGCCGTCCTTTGTACTAAAATGAGCGAGTAACTTTTTACAGTAGGGAGGAGCCACGAAAATCATAACATTTTTTCAATCCGGGCATTTTGCGAGCCTATCGTAGCGTCATCTGTCAAACTGTTTGGAGGTTTTCCAGCCGCTATCGCTTTAGATTGACCAGGCGCGATTTTACGTTATTCAAAGTAGAGCATCTTTATTGCATTTGACTTAACGACCGGACCTTAAAACCTGCTCCACCCACGGTACAAAACGCCCCACATTGACGTACACTCCCGGCACCTCCTCAAGACCGCAGTTGACGCCCCATCTGAAATGAGTGCTTTTGTTGAGAAGTACAACATTCTCTAACTCTCTGCCACTTACGAGACAAGCCCAACCAGGTAAAAGAGTCCGTCAATACCACGGCAAAATAGCCCTCCGCCTCCGTCTCCGGTACAACTGTCACTTCGACTAGCCACTCCTCCGGCGCAGAGAAAACTTGGGTGAAGCCTGGAACAGGAGTAGATTTAGATCACAGCAAACCACAGTTCACTCTTCACCTGAACCGGCCACCAAGACGAGTTTTTCGCAGTTGTGCTTGACACTTTCCCGAGGAGATCACCTGTACAGAGGCATGCTTGAGAACGGCCGAATAGCTGCCATTGTCTAAAAAAATTTATTGAGATTATTTGAGGTGTCATCACTGGAATCAATCTCCACCCACCGAAAGCACTCTTTCCCCAGCCGCTGACGACACAGTCCAGTGTCTGAACTGCTTCACCTCGTGGCAAGCAGACGGGCTGAATGTTCCCCTGGAAGGTGGCCTCCTCCTGAAGCTTCAGCACGGCAATATCATTCCACAGATTGGCCCTGTCAAAGTGTGCGTGAGTGGTGACACTGGCCACTGCGATGTCGATGTGCGGCAACAGTTCATCCTGTTTGAGTGCATTCCACTCGCCCAGTCGCACAAACAGTCCTCGTCTGATGTGGTGGTCACCCAGGCAGTGGGCCACGGTGAGGACGTGCTTCGAGTCAATCAGTACGCCGCTGCACATGAACAGCGTCCTACCTCGGGCGAACTGAACAATGGCAACCTAAAACGATAAGAAAAAGGTAAGGTTGATCGCAGGAGCGACACTGCATCATCACTTGCATGCCATGGCCATTCGGCAAATCGTGTTGGCTTCAACGTGGTGATTCTTTCCGAGTTTGCGAATGACACTCCACACTTTGGTCCACTCAAAAGGTCGTCCTTGTTGCAACAAACTTCAAATGGCATGCACTTGATTCTCTAAAATGCAACAGGAACTTTTAGAAAAATTTTTTATGACAAAAATATTCTTAAGTACAGCCATTCTCGGGTCAAAGAGGCCATTTATTTCGTAGGCTGCATTTCCTTTGATGCAGTGCTGAGGCAAAACACAAGTGCACCGGCGAATGTCCTAGCGATGGAAGGTCTAGTAGGTAAGTGAAGCTCAGTTGGTTCGTGGGGTTATCGTACGTCTAGTGAGAAATGCCATGAAGTGAAATCACTCTCATAAGGCGCAAATCCGCCAAATCTAGAAGAAAAGCTTGACGCATCAACTATGAACAGATAAAGGAGAAACAGTGTGACGAGGATCATTTTGGCATCAGGTATATGTGGGGCTTGATGCGGCGGGAATTTAAATAAGCGCAAGCAGTCAATCGATACGTGATTTTAACTGCACAACTGTATTGAGTTCGTTTTATTGTATATAATTTACAAAGACTGTCCAAAGCCAGCCAACAACATTACTACTACCTAGTGAATTTGAAGACTTAAAGAATGTAAGCAGGATTTGGGTTGATGCGATTTTTGCGCGTCACAAACTTAATCTTTCTCTCCATGTCTTCGTCGTAGATGGCCTTGCACATTTGCCAGCTCACTCGCCGACGCGTGTTGAACGGCTTTTCGTAGGTTCGTGTACGGCGGTAAATATCAAAGAGGCCTTCTGATCCCATAATTCGGTTTATAACACGTAGAGCTCCGTCAACATTGCCATCCTTTACGATCACCGTTTTGCCGATGAATTTGTTTACCACTTTGCCGCAGCAAACTTGCGTCAGGAACATGATGGAGATGATCGATGAACGTTTGCAGAACTCCCAAAGATATCAAAAGCAAATCAGAACAAAAAAAGTTCGGCCGCAAAGAAAAAAAACATCAGCTGAGGCTGGCCACGCCGACCACAGATGACGTGACATTCGCAAATAAAAACAAATCGGCGGCAAGTTCATTTGCTGCTGGTGATGTCTCTGCCGCAGAACCATCATCAAACACTGAAGTCAAAGGCACTGAAGTTTTGTACTTTTATTGTAATTTAAGAGGGCATGATTTGCGAGTGTGTGTGTGGAGGTTTTATATACAAGCGTAAAAACAATACAAACTTATTGACAAGTTGACTCGTGATCACCAAGACATGTGTCACAAAGTGTTCCAGGTAAGTGTTGTGTGTTTTTCTAAATAATAATTCAGCACTGCTTGAAGTAAAGAAGCCACAGTCAAGTGGAAAAATAAATAATAATAATTAATGTAAGTAAGTAATAATAATTAGAAGATCAGGTTCAACGATGGCCAAGTTCGGCGTGTTGTACAGTGGAAAAATGCAGTATGCTGATGATGAAATAAAAACCAATACAACAGTACAGTTGGCAGGTTGAACGTGAAGATGGTTTGGTAGAGTTCGAAGCAAAAATTCAGCAGTTGGTGCGCGCATTTATTTTTTCTTCATAAAAGCAAAGTTTTAGGAATCACAAAATACTAAGAAGCGTTGAAACAGTGTTTCACTTTCATTTCTTCGACCGCCTTTATCAGTTGGCCAGCTCTTAAGATCCTGTCAAAATAAAAAAGGTGCGTTAGACGGTTCAATCACTGTGTTTCCAAAGACAGACATGAGGTGCCACGCAACGGCTTACCTTTGTTTATGCAAAGTAGAAAATATTTCGGTAAGCCGAACAATACTTCTGGCCTTTTTCAAGTCTGCTGATATTTGCGTCAACTGGTGATTTCCAATGTGAAGCGTCTGCTCAGCGCACTGTATAGCCTAGAAGTTGTCAAAATGAAAATAAACAAAGAATGTCTTTCAAAAAATACACACAAAACGCTTTACAACCGTACCTGTTTTTCAATTTGTTCACTGTGCCATCCCATCACATGACTGGCCAAATCGTCGCGAGTAAGATGCTTGAATCGAGAAACATTTGGCGTGGTGCTCTTTTGTGCAACCGTTGAACTTATCACCGAGGAGATATTACTGAGGCCGGAAGAAGAGGATGCGCCTTCTTGCTGACGGCTGCTGGAGTTGGCGTTTTTTACTTCAGATGCAGTCGGCGCAGGCGACTGGATCGAGTTCCGGGAAAGTTGATCCAGATCTTGTCTAATAATGTCAGAACTGTTGATCATCATCTGATTACGATAGGAGGAGTAGCTTCGAGAGTTTGAACTTTTGGTTTGACCCGCATAAGATTCAGTGGCAGTCTGGTGGTGGTTGACCGGAGTAGAGTTTCGAGGCGAATTATGGCCATGTCTGCTATTGTTAGGTGCAGAAGCCTGGTTGTTGTTATTAGTTGATGAGTGCTGAGATTTTTGATTGCTAAGATTGGCGGCTTTTTTAAGGAAATTCAGTGTTTCTTCGGTTGTGGCATCAGGTTTGAATGCCAAGCCAGGCATACTTGCCAGCTGGGCAATGATCATTTTCAACCTGTTTATGCTCGAGGGCGATGCATTACTGCCCGGAGAAAGAGCAGATGCAATCGTCTTAGCAATGGTCTCATAATGACTTGGATCAACGGTCAAAGAGTTACTTGAAGAGCCAAAGTTGTTCGAGTGGCTATCCAAGCTATTCGACTTGCTTCGCTCACTATGGCCATGGTTGTTGTTATGGCTGTGATTATTGCTGTTGACGTTGACATTCCCACCACTGCTGCCTTTTGCTTGCGACTCGTGAGGCAGGTAGTCGTTTCGGGTGGAACTGTGGTTGTTGTTGTTTGTACTGTTATTACTTTGGGAACTTGACGACTTTAGCTGAGAAGAGGAGGAGGAGGAGGATTGAGGAGGAGGTGGTGGAGGAGGTGGCGGCTCGGGCTTTTTATATGAGTTATAATGCGATTCATGGTTATTTGATGATGTTGTTGTTGAGTTGTCGTGTTTGTGCTTCTTAGTGATCCCGTCACTGAAAGAAGAACTGCCCAAAGTACGTTTTTCACTTTCTCTTTCTCTTGAATCCCTGAGTTCTCTCGTTTTCGAGTTGTGAGAGCGGTAAGTCTCGCGACTTGAAGAAGTCCTACTAAGGCGGGATTGATAGTTATGAGATCGATAGGTTGGACTCAAGTGCCGGCTGCCGCTGTTACTGCTACCGCCGTAAGGGTCTCGGTGTCGGTCTTTACTGGACGATGACGAGGTGGAATACGTATCATTGGGGTAGGCATACGATTTGGGATTCCTTGAATCATTGTATTTATCACGGTAATGGTTTGTCGAATATTTGTCAGATGAGGATGATGAGTACTTTGAGGAAGAGGACGGCGTCGGCTGCCGTCTTTCCCACTCTTCCAGCTCTCTCGGTTTGTCCCAGGTGGACTGTGAAGTTTTCTTGTTGTAGTAGTAGAGCTTGCCATTGGAGCTCAGAATTTCAGTCCACTCACAAGAAGAGTGCGTTTTCTTTGACGAGGAACCATAGGATGACGATGATGAGTGGTTGTTTTGTTCGTAATAGGAATCTCTCGAGTGGCTCCCGCTTGAGGTTTTGTAGGAGCGAGGTGGGTCATGCGAGCTCACCGGAGACCGAGATCGCTCTCGATTCCGGGATCTAGATCGCATTTCGATGTGTTTTGCTAATTTGGATGAATGAAAGCGCCGAGAGAATGAAGAGAGTGCACTTGCAAATCTAATGAGCAGAGAGGCAAAATCTACCAGACACGACTCGAGAGCGTAAGGTGCGAACAGCCAACACAGGCGAAAACGGTCCACTTTTCGGCAGCATTTGCACTGCCAAAGAGATGCTTTCTCGCAGGGCTCCCAGTGAAAAATAGTAGGAAAAAGCGGACTACCTTTCAATCGCTGCTCTAAACGCATCTGCCCATCTCTGTCGCCAAACTTCACATTGACGTCCACTTCTTACTGACCATTGAGACCTGGTGGCCCACGCTCCCTCCCCCTTTGCCTCACTTCGACTCTTCAGTCTGACAGTCGACCTTATCAGAGAGTTCATTGTCGCCAGTGCCAAGTGTATCACCACCCTTCATCACCATCATCACCACTGCCACAAACATATTTTCACTGTATTTATGAAGAGGATCGTCTGGACGAAAACAACAAAAAATAATGCTCTTCTGAGCAAGAGTTGTTTCGAGTTTGGCGAGAGCGGAGAGAGAGAGAGAGAGAGAGAGAATCCATCGAATCTGCATCTGCACCGTCGTCACAGCGCGAGCGAGAAAGAGAGTCGCCCCTTGCCACTTGCCACCAGCCATGCGACGGACTCCCCTGACTCCCTGGACCGTAATCTGCCGGACACCCCCTCAAGCAGCACAGGCAGCAGCCCCCGCCTCCGCCTCTTCCTCTTCATGACGAGCCAGACGGTGATGGTCTCTCCCAGCACCACCAGCGCCAGCTCAAGCAGCAGCACCAGCACCAACACCAGCATCAGCTTCTCTGATCTGTTGGTGTTGCCAGACTGATAACCGTACGACAACTCTCTGCTAACTCTGAAGCTGCTACTTTCTTCTTCTCGACTTACTCGCGACTCATTTCATTATCATTTCATCACCGACCGACCGCCGCCGGCCAAGGCGAAAAAGCACAGCAACCCAACCAACAAGACACGCATCATTTGCCATCTGCAATCAAAGATGCAGCTATTCAATCGCATCTCCACTTTACATACGAAACACTGCTTGGCAATCTTTTGCCTCTTAGCGGTTGCAGTTCAACAAATCAATGGTACGTTATCGTTCTAATTCTTTTCCCATTCACACAGCTGTTTGGCGACAATTCGAACACAACAATGTGTTCACCTGCACGTTTCATCTTTCCTTTCCCATCTTGTGATGATTTACTGCTTTTGGTTTGAAGTAGTGTACTGTTGAGTTTGTTTGCTTCTTTGTATTTTACTAGCCCCACTCTAGCATTGCAATGAGTCACTTAAAGTCTGGAGCAGACTACAACATCTTGAAGGCTGATTTGATTACTCTCTCGCTGGAACTCACTCATGAGGACTTTAAAAAGATCGACTTTCTTCTCACCAAGGAGTTTGCTCGTGGTCTCAAGTCGACCAAGGATTCGACCATAAAGATGTACCTCACTTATGTACGCTCGCTGCCGAACAACAATGAACGAGGGCAGTACCTGGCTCTTGATTTGGGCGGCACCAACTTTCGTGTCCTGTTGGTGGAGTTCAAGCAAGACAAGGCAGACATTGTCGACTGCGAGCGCCGCGCGATTCCTGCTGAACTTCGCTATGGAGCTGGCGATCTTCTCTTTGACTTTATCGCCGAACATGTCGTCTCCTTTGCCATCAAGCACCAGCTGGTTGGAGTGCGCATAGCTCTCGGTTTCACCTTTAGCTTTCCACTTCAGCAGCATGGTCTGGCCGAGGCGCACCTGGTCACTTGGACCAAGTCGTTCAACTGCTCTGGCGTGGTCGGCTTTGACGTTGTCCGTCTGCTAAAGGCTGCACTGAAGCGAAAGATGCACAAGTCAATTCCCTACGTTGACGTGGTGGCCATCATCAATGACACCACTGGCACGCTGATTGCTGGAGCCGTGCAGAACCGCAACTGCATGATCGGTCTGATTGTGGGCACTGGCTCCAATGCCTGCTACGTGGAGAAGCTGGAGAACGTTGAGAAGTGGCCTTTCAACTACAGCGACCCAAAGCAGGTGGTCATCAACACTGAGTTTGGCGCCTTTGGCGACAACAACGTGCTCGACTTTTCGCGCACCATCTGGGACCGAGCTCTCGACTTTGAGTCGGTCAATCCTGGCAAGCAAATCTACGAGAAGATGATCTCTGGCATGTACTTGCCGGAGATCTTTCGTCGTGCCCTGCTGACGCTCATTGAGCGAGGCGTCCTATTTGGCAGCAGGTTGCCACTGGAGCTGCTTCGTCCCTACTCGATCAACACCAAGATCATGTCGGACATTGACCAGGACACCGACACGGACACCTTCCTCAAGACTGCCGAAGTGCTCAAGCAGATCTTTCCGCGCTTTGAATTCACCGAAGTGGACGTGAAGATCGTCTTTATGATTAACAATCGCATTACGAAGCGCGCCGCCCAGCTGGTGGCCACTGGCATCTGGGCCCTGGCGAAGCGCATTAAACAGGACGAGGTGGCCGTCGCCTACGACGGCGCCCTCATCAGTCTGCATCCCTACTTCAAGGTGTGGGTCGAGGAGAAGCTGGCGCAGTTTGTCAACAACAATGCGCCCTCCAAGAAGATCACCCTCATTCAGGCCCACGATGGCAGCGGCTATGGGGCCGCCATCGTCGCCGCCGTCTGCTACCGTGAGAAGCGACCCAAGGTCATCAAGAAGAAGGGCAAAGTGTATCAGATTACTAGCTTCCTCAACAACACGGCCACCGCCAACAAATGAGGCTCTCTTTTGTTTTTTCCTTTTGCACCTTTCTTGCCTTCTCTTGCATTAACAATCTTTTTTCTCTTTTCGTTCANCCTCCAAGAAGATCACCCTCATTCAGGCCCACGATGGCAGCGGCTATGGGGCCGCCATCGTCGCCGCCGTCTGCTACCGTGAGAAGCGACCCAAGGTCATCAAGAAGAAGGGCAAAGTGTATCAGATTACTAGCTTCCTCAACAACACGGCCACCGCCAACAAATGAGGCTCTCTTTTGTTTTTTCCTTTTGCACCTTTCTTGCCTTCTCTTGCATTAACAATCTTTTTTTCTCTTTTTGTTCTCGTTGTCTTTTTTCTCTTTTCTGCGCCCTGCTTATTAAAGGTTTAATCTGCTACTGTGATATCTGCGTCAAGTCCAACTATTCCTGCAAGACGGATGGCGTTTGCGCAGCATCAATCTACAAAGAGCCCGATGGACACATTCATTCGTCGTTCAGGTATGTTTAAAATGTTAAAGTTTAGCTCTCTTTCCACTACCAAATATATTAGCCGTTGTTGTTTTCACTTTGACTTATTATTCGGATGAAATGATTTTTGCTACTAATATACGACGAACCGAGCACTAACCAAGTCCACATTTGTGCGTGTCTTCTCCGTGTCCGCAGGTGTTATGATCGAGCGGATCTGCTCCCACCGGAGAACCCAGTCCACTGTCACTCTTCTAACCGGCAGCGCAAATTTGAAATCAAGTGCTGTGAAGGCTTTGATTTGTGTAACCAAAACTTTACCTTTAACCCTGAAATCTTTGACAATAACGGCTCTTTTCCCGACCTGTCGGGCCAGTACTTGGGTAAGAATGTGTGAACACGTTTTTTAATTCTCGCTCTTTCTTTTTCTTCTTCCTCATTTCCCCCTTTCAATTCTTCTGGGCCCTCATTTATATTTCTCAAATACCGCTTTATATCTCTATACTACCTTTTCGTTGCCACTTTGCTTCTTCTTCTTCTCCTTCTTCTGCCACTTCTTCACGCTTCTGACACCCCCTGACACACCTACCCGCTACTCACTCAGATGCATGGAAAAGGATAGCCTCTTTCCGACAGACAGTCCCACTTGGTGCACCAAGTCAAACAGTGATACCGAGATACATGCCTGTTGTAATGACGGCAACAGTTGCAATAAGTTCTTGACTGTACTCTTTCCCCCTCCTCAAGAAGGTTGGTACTACTATCTGTCAGGAACCAGAGACCATTCTTCAGACCACTCGACCACAACCCCTTGCTGTGTACCGCTTTTAACCACTTTTGCCCCTCCTTCGTGAAATAAGCTCACTGAGGCGTAGTCGTCTTTTCCCTGACTTTTCCTGTCCTTTTTAGTCTTTTCTAACACTACTTTCCGTCGCCCACCCCTCCTTTTTCTTTCTTTTTCAAGTTGATCTGCTTCTCTGTTTCTGTTCTTTCTACTAACACTTTTGCTTTTTTCCGTCACACAGGTGGAATTAACTTTGTAGAACATAACATTTGGCTACTTGTAGTAGGAACTGTGGTCACACTCGCAATTGCAGGGGCAATCATCTGCTTTACGCTAAACTACCGAAGAAAGCTGAAGCAAAGCACAAGCAACAAGCGGCGCCCCTTTAATATTGACGCTGAAGGCAGTGTGGCTTCTCGCGATCCGCTCATTCCTGGTCAGACGCTGAGAGACCTTATCGACACTACTTCCGGCTCTGGTATGTCTTTGCAGTGCACTTCGATGCACTGGTCTGACCGACTTGTCACTAACCAACTTTATACCAACTGTTTACCAGGACTTCCCCTATTGGTACAGCGAAGTATCGCTCGACAAATTCAGCTCTTGGAAATCATTGGAAAGGGCCGATTCGGCGAGGTGTGGAAGGGACGATGGAGGGGTGAATCGGTGGCCGTGAAGATTTTCTCCTCTCGCGACGAGCAGTCCTGGTTCCGTGAAGTGGAGATTTACCAGACTGTGATGCTGCGAAACGATAGCATTCTTGGATTCATTGCTGCCGACAATAAAGGTATAGGGAGAGGGCAAATGTGCTGTTTTAATAATCGGCTAATCATTCTCTGCTTTTGCTCGACAGACAACGGCACTTGGACGCAACTGTGGCTCATCACCGATTATCATGAACGAGGTTCCCTCTTTGACTACCTGAGCAAGAACACGGTCGACATTGCGGGAATGCTCAAAATGGCAGCATCAATAGCAAATGGCCTTGCTCACCTGCACATGGAGATCCTGGGCACCCAGGGTAAACCTGCAATAGCACATCGTGATTTGAAATCAAAGAACATTCTCGTCAAGTCCATGGGCACCTGCGCCATCGCCGACCTTGGCCTGGCAGTTCGCTACGACTCGGCGAACAACTCGGTGGACATACCGCCCAATACGCGCGTCGGCACCAAGCGATACTTGGCACCGGAAGTACTGGACGAGACCATTTCCATTCACCATTTTGACTCTTTTAAACGTGCCGACATCTACTCATTTGGTTTGTGCATCTGGGAGATTGCCAGGAGATGCAATGTCGGAGGTAAGTTGGCGCTGCTCGCCCACTAACAGGTGGTTACTTTGACTTTACTGGCTCTAATCACTGTTTTTTTGCGCAGGCATCTACGAGGAATATCAGCTCCCCTACTACGATGTCGTTCCATTTGATCCCACCATTGATGACATGCGGAAGATTGTGTGCACCGAACGACAGCGACCGCAAATACCAAACCGATGGCAGTCCTGTGAGGTAGGTTTACACTGATTTTGAATATCTTCCCAAACTCATTACCGGTTCCTCGTCTTTTGCACTGCAGGCACTTCGCGTTATGTCAAAGATTATGAAGGAGTGCTGGTACCACAACGCCGCAGCGCGTCTAACTGCCCTTCGCATCAAGAAAACCATTGCCAATCTTGAGGCACAAGAAGATCTCAAAATGTGATTCTTTAACTAATTGTAATAATATTCTATTTATTGTGGGTGGCATGCCAACTGCTGCTTGGTCGTGGATCGCCGCTTTCCGCTAAATAGCTTCACCAGTCACCGAACAGACACCGTCTTTTTTTCATTTTGCACCTTTCAAAGGAACTACTCGCGTTTCTGACTCCAATTCGTAGTTTAATTTGCTTTTTGTTATTTTCTTTCTTTCTTTCTTTCTTGTTTGTACGAATCTCACCATTTTCTTTTCTTGTCTTCTCTTGCTCTCTGTTTTCCTACTAATAGAAGTGCATGTATATTTGTGAAATAGCACCTTTTTCCTTAAACATACAACAAGTAAACTACATCTATTGCCTACTTTAAACCATCAATTTTGCAGTTTGTCATTTTATAGATTGGAAAATGCAAAATGCTGGTAGAAAAATACACGTCTTTTAGTCAGATCGCCACCCACGGAGCCCTCCTCCTTTTGTACAGCTCATTTACAGCTCGTCGTGCTTTGGCCCGCTGAACTCGTCGTGTGAAATGTACCCGTTTTTGTCCCGGTCTTCGTGGGTGAAAATGTCCTCAATCAGCTTATCCTGGTCGGGAATGTCGCTACTTCGGGCGCCCTCGGGAACTTGCTTCTTCAAATAGTTACTCAGCTAAAGTGGGAGGTAGTTTTGTGTTAGTTCAGTCTACAGCCAACTAGTCTGTGCAAATTACCTCCTCTCGGGACAGTTGATTGTCGCTGTCAGAGTCAATCTCCTTGAAGATGTTGACCGGGGCAGGTCCATCATCGACGGAAACACACTCCACTTCAAAAATTAGGGTAGATTTGGGCGGAATAGATTCACCGGCGCCCATGTCGCCGTATCCGAGGTGGGAAGGAATGGTGAGCTTTCGCTTCTCCCCGGGGCAGATGCCTAGCAGACCGTCGTCCCAGCCCTTGATCACCTGGCCAACGCCGATTTGAAACTTGAAGGGCTCTCCTCGAGGGTAGCTGTTGAAATAAAGAGAAATAGAAGGGAAAGTTCAGAATTAGAGATGACATCAGTTGATCCACAAAACAGACAAACCTCGAGTCAAATTCAGTGCCACTGGTGAGAGTTCCCTTGTAGTGCATCGTTAGCATGTCACCCTTTGCCGCTCCACGGGTACATTCGTCGGCCTTCTTCAGCGTCTCCACCTTCAGTTCAGTGACTTCCTCCTCATCGGCAAGGACAGCCGATGCTGCCAGAAGGCTCAGGGAAGCTAGCACTAGAAAGGTGCGCATCTTTTCGGTAGTGAGGATTTTTCTGTTCTGTTTCTTCCAAACTGCACCAAATTTTTGGCGATGAGCAGCAGACTGCAGAGAGAATTGAGGCAGCAGTCACACACACACACACAGCAAAGGCACAAACACAATCGGCAGTAGTGGCAAATAAAGTTGCGACTGATAAGTTGGTGGCACTTGTGATGAGAAGTATCGGCGTTCAGAAGTGTATGCTGATACACGTGTCAGTTTGATTGGCCGCAGAGAAAGAAGAGGAGGAGGAGAAGGGAGAAGGTGGTAGAGCTGTAGAATTTCACTCACTGTCACCGCTGTTGCCACCAAGCACTGCCGAAGTGGCAGCAGTATGCTGACTCTGTGTGTGTGTGTGTGTGTGTGTGTTGAGCGCGAAGAACGGGCGAGGTAGGCAGAACAGCCCACTCTCTCGCTCATTTATTCATCCACTCACTCACTCAATCTGACTACCGTTTATTCACCCCTGTAGACCGGTTTCAAGATCTTCCAGTGGGTTCTTCTTTGAGGAGCCAGGAGCCACTTCTTCCTCTTCAGCTCATCAATTATCGCAGGTTGCATGTTAGAAGTTGGAAGGCAGACTACGCTGTCTTATCAGACTGGCCGGGCACTGCAGAACTATTGAGTTTGCTACGATACCACTGCTGTTGCGCAATGGAAAAGACTCCCTCTGTCTCACTCACCCTCAGTGTCGGCTGTTGTCACATGACAGTGTCTTCTGCTGTCACCGTCTGCAGACTGAACACACAACTGAGTGAGTGCTGAAAGTGACTTTGAAAAGATGAGTGAAAACGCCAAGCACCCCGTTGAAATTGTGGACCTAGTCCCGCTGACTGAGCAGTCACCGTACATGAAGCCACTTCGGTTGCACTACAAACAGGTTCGTCAAGCTGGCTGGCTGGTGGCGGCGGATAACTTCTCCATTCTAATTGATCACATTTCGGTTTCAGAATGGCAAACAGCTGACATGGGACTGCATCAAAACGCATGACAGGTTCGCCAATCGCTCTTTGTGCAATCATCACTTTAATTTGACACTGTTGTCTTTACCATTTTGCAGTGTGGCCATCCTGATCTTCAACTCATCCCGAAATGTGCTCGTCTTTGTGCGTCAATTCCGTCCACCTGTCATGCTGTCGGCCCTGTTCAACAGCATGGACTCTAACATGACCAACATTAAGGAGAAGTTTGAAGAGAACGCCGCCAGTATGAATCCAAATCTGGGCTTCACACTGGAGCTGTGCGCGGGCATCATCGACAAAGAAGGTCTCACTCCGACAGAGATCGCCAGAGAGGAGGTCATCGAGGAGACCGGCTACTCGCCCCCACTGGAGTATGCTCATTTGAGAGAGTGTCTTTTCATAGCATTTCTAAATGTATTATTTTCAGGGCACTGCATCTGATCACGACCTGCCGAACTGGCGTCGGCTCATCGGGCTCGTTACAGTACATTTACTACTGCGAAGTAAAGTGAGTTTCTTTTTCATACGCTTAATATTCTTTCTCAAACCAAACTCTCAATATTGCAGTGATTCAATGCGAGTCAGTCAGGGCGGTGGAATTGACGACGAGTCCATTGACGTGGTTGAGTAAGTGTTTGACCATTGAAGTCATTACCAGTGCTAATTAAATCTTCATACAGGTTCTCCATTGAAGAAAGTCGAAAGCAGATCTACCAGTGCGACAAAAGTGCCGGCATAGGGCGAACTCCTGGATTTCGCTTGGCCATCAGCTGGTTCATTTACGAAAAGCTTCCTTCGCTGCAATTGAACAAGTGATCCTCATCTTAGGTTCCAATGAGTCTTTCTATTTACAATTCTTGTTTGTAATTAACAATAAAACATTCTACTTGTAAATAATATTGCAATGTGGGTTGACTTCTTGGTACATTAGCACGAGCAGTTCGATGAAGGGGTACTCGGCAGCTCTTGTACCTCGAATTACTAATGTTTGCAGCGATCGAATTTTGTAGAGCGCCTCAATACCACGATGTGAAATGTTAGGAATATTGCTCAGGTCGAGATAGGTGAGTGTGGTTGAGTTGCGAAATAATCTAGCTATCTTATCACAAGCAAAGTCGTCTAACTTCCAGTTGTTAGACAAGTTCAGTTCTTCAAGTTGATTTAGCAGGATAAAGTTGTCCAGGCCTTCGTACATTAAATGGGTGTCTAGGAAACTGAGTTAGAAAAATTAATTCGCAAACTGAATCTCAATTTACCTGATGCGTCAACGGAAATTAGGCGATACGTTTTGTCGTAAACAGTGGGAAGACATTTTAGATCTCCTATCCAAACATCGGGTTTGTCTATTAAAGTAAAATTCTTTTAAAATATTGCTTTAGAAGTTCCTGACAACTCACGTTGAAATCGGACTTTTCCGTTTCGATTAATGATAAAGTGCGAAGTAGCAAGATCAGGTCCTACCAAAAATGTCAAGTTAGCTTAAGTGTGTTTGATAAAAAAAGGCAGAAAATACCGAGAATTCCATGTCTCTGAGTCAAGTACTTCTGTGACTGAGCTTCACTCTTGTGGATGGCTCGTTCAAGAATACGCTTAAATGCGGCCCAAGAAAAGTCATATTTCCGATTCAAAAAAATCTTCATGTCTGGCGAAATAAGCGACTTTACTATTGGCCTGGACAACTTTTCATGCGGTTTCTGATCAATCTGGTACTCGAAAATCTGATCATAGCTGAGGTTGCGCTTCTTGAATTCAATCAAAAAGTTGTCTTTTGCCGACTTGGGCAACTTTTGAACGTCGAACTTGTCCTGTTCATCCTTCTCCGCCACTTCATCTGTCTGTTTTGATTCAGACGAAACCACCGCCTTTGGCTCTTGCTGGGACAGACCTCGACGGGGCAGTAAAGCCAAACGGGGCAGAAGTTGCCTCGCCCCGAGAGCTTGCTTCAGCATTTTCATTCAGTGATTCTCGTTGATCAGCTGGCTGATGATCGGCAACCTCTAAGGGCGAAGAATAACACGCGAAGACCCACACATGTGTTTTCTTTTGCAAATGTTTTTCTCCTCTTCTCACCACCACCACCTGCCATCTGTCGCCGGCGGTGACAACCGATAAAATGGGTGAGTGACTTTTTCCCGACTACAGTAGACGCCGCCGCCGGGTATCGCCTTTTGTTGTTGGACCCTGCTTGAATCTGATTGTCTGTTTCGCCCACCTGCTTACCGGGAATCGGAGCACAAAGGAGAAAAGAGGGCGGTGTACTGTGGGACTAATGGAAAATGGATAGCAGAGCGAAAGAGGGAGAAAGAGAGCCAGGTGAAATCAGGTGGGCACGGTGCGTCATTGCGGCATTATACCAGATGGCATCATTGAGTGATGCAGCGGCGACCACTGCAGTAGCAGTACTACCACTGCCGCAATGACTGAATGAATGGTGCCTGCATTGGAACAGACGCACCGCAGTCTGCCCGAACAACGTCTGCTGACCTGACAACCGTCGTCCTGGTCACCTCTCACCAGCCCTTGTGTCCGCCCAGTGCACTCCCTGTGCCGATGATGCCCACATGATCTCCGTCTGAGCTACCTAGTGAACGACAGTCACCATTGTCAACTCCTTCTACCTTCCTCTTCCTCCTTCTGCAGCCACCCTTCATCCCTGATGACCAGCTGCTGTGCGTGGACATGTCCTGTCTCTAGCTGTCCTCCTTCTCCTCCTCCTCTTGCCACCACCAGCACCTCCTCATGGGCAAAAAGCTGTCGTGCTGCAGGGGCGGCGACAGTCCCTACAAGCAGAAGGACAGTCAGTACAACCTGACCGCCTCGGAAATCAAGTACGACGAGACGGTGTCCAGTCAGCTGCAGCACATTAGCGACAGGGAGCCCGGTGACGCCGAGGGCGAGCCAACCTCGGACCCTCGCAGTGGGCCCCTCTTCGTGGAGAAGTGCTCACAGCAAAGTGAGTAGACAGTGTCAGCAGTATTTTTCATCGCACTAATCACTCTGTTTACCATTTCACCACAACAAAGATGTAAAAAGCCGAAACGACGTAAGTTTACTCAAGCGGCACGCCTAGTGATCGCTGTTGCCCGGCACTTCAATCTCAGTAATCACCCTTTCCCTATCCCTCTCTCCTGCAGCTTTGGGAGTACCGCCCGCTGAACAAATGCAGCTCCTGCTCAACCATCTACATCGACGATTGCACTGTGAGCCATCCGAACTTTAGGAACATGATCAAGTGCGTTGCGATGGCAGTTTACTATCACATCTACAATCGCAAGTCTGAAGTGATACTGGACATTTTTGACGAAAGGCTCTATCCACTCGGGGTAATGTTACTGTGCACAAATCTCTCGCCCAACCTTGCTAACACTTTAACTCCCTCCCCAGAAGAAGCTTTCCTCAAGTGAAAGTGAAAACCAGGAGCCTGACTACCGAACGATTCACCGCTTCATGCGAACGCTCTTCAACTCTGCACAGCTGTCGTCTGAATGTGCCATAATAACGCTGGTCTACCTGGAACGCCTGCTAACCTACGCGGAGATTGACATTGGCCCCTCTTCTTGGAAGAGAATTCTCCTCGGTGCCATTCTCCTCGCTTCCAAGGTGTGGGACGACCAGGCAGTCTGGAACGTCGACTACTGTCAGATTCTTCGCGACATGCCCATTGATGATATGTAAGTAATGGCACAACAAAAAAGCTTCACCCGTACTAATAATCTGATGAACAGGAACGAGCTGGAGAGACGTTTTCTGGAGCTGCTTCAATTCAACATCAACGTCCCTTCGAGTATTTACGTCAAGTACTACTTTGAACTGCGAACTCTTGCCGAAAAATATGATCTCACCCTTCCGGCCGAACCGCTTAATGATATTCGTGCTCAAACGCTAGAGGCTTCATCCAGAGCCTGCGACCACTACTTTGTCAATCTTCGCAAGAACCTCAAGCGATGGTCCAGCTACAACAGCATTTCCTTTCAGAGAAAGAGCATGACCATATTATCCTGAGAGGATAGCGAAACACCACCACCACCACCGACACCGCCACCACCTTCTGCTGCTGCTGAAGAGAAACTAGAGTTTTTTTATATGAATCAATTAACTGACAATTAACATTTCAGTGACCAGGGAGGAGACACACTTATATTTACAACTTATGTGATATCGAATTCTTTTCACAATTTAGTAAAGTAAAGATGACCGCCGCGGCGACCCGTGTCTGCAGGACGCTGTTCTCGAGGTCGTGGTGGAACTCCACGGTGCCCCACTTCTCCGCCTGGTAGTTCTCCTCGACGCGAGACAGCCGGACGGCCTCCTCGACGGACAGCTGCCGGTTGATGAGTGCACTCGCCAGAATGAGCGATTTTAGGTTCTCCGTGGCAAAGAGCAGGCCGATGAGGGAGGAAAAGTTGAAGGACTTTAGGTACCGAAGCAGTGTCTCCCTTGTCTGCTCGTCGATTGGCGGTAGACTAACCGTCTGCGTGACGGGCACTTGACAGCGGAAAAAGTGGGCGAACCACTGTACGACGGGGTCCCAGCTGGTGGTCTGCAGCTTCAGCAGCTCTTCCGGCTCCGGCATTCGGTAGCACAGAGTGTCGCCCTCGAGAAAGGAAATCAACTTGTCGCTGGCTGAATCGATGTCCAGGTCGCCGGGGTTGTCGAGCACCGTATTGGTCAGAGTGGTAATGTGCATCTGATTCAGTTCAATCTTCTCCTTTTGCGAGTCCCACTCGGCAGCGACCATCGTCGCCAAGGATTCATTTGGTGCGAGAAATAAATTTCCCTTTGGCGTCTTTAGTTTTCTCTTGTCCAGGATGATCTCATACTGGTCTCCGTTGGACTTTGAAATGGAGACGTTCTTGTAAAAGCGTTTCACGTCTGCAACAATATGTTCATTGGGTTAGAGGGTCCATAACTACAGCAATCGTACATACTTTGAATTGAGCTGAAGTGGGCTTTACTCTGACGCAGTGGCCAGGCGGTAGCCAGCAGCTGAATAGACCGATTGAACATTGTCTGTCAAAGAGTGGAGATCTTCGGAGCTTCGGACTGAAACAATCTCCCGCAGATTTGAACACATGTGATCGAGCAAAACAATGTCAGCTCTGCGACCAGAACGACATCTCGTGATCAGAAGCGGTGCATTGTATAAGAAAGCAGCTTTTCTTTCGAAGGTCTTCAACTTTCTCGAACGACGTCTTCGTACGACATAGTGCTTAGTGTACGAGTGCGAGCAATCGATTGCTCAATAGAGTAAGTAAGTAGGTAACTTGACATTATTCAATCGTCACCTGTTTGGCAAATCATTTTGTGAACTATTCAGCCGAATGGCCGCCTACAGTAGAGGGAATTGACTTCAATTGCCCTCGAGTGGAAAGCGAGGGAAAAAGCGATTGCATTTAGCAGTGTTCCACAAAGTTGTCCGACATTTCTCTGGCGACAATTGAAGTCCACACACAACGCCTAAAACTGAGAGGCTGATCCAGTAGAAAATGTGTACTCTAATCTTACGCAAGAGCAATGAAATTCTGACCATCGGCCGTTGATCAACAGATTACATTAATCTTGAGCCTTCACTAAAATGCAGAATACAAAATTGAAGAATAATGCCGATTCCAAAAATAGGAGGTGACAGTAGGCAGAAGATCGAACACTGAAATTTTCAAAAATCGGTCGCCTAGCGGCAGTGCCGGCGAAGTTGGCCCATTCCTTCGCCAGTGCGTCTGCTCCATGCTAGCAGTCAGGCGAGTAGTGGTAGCAAAGCTGACTGTGTAGAGTTGTGTGTGTGTGTCTGTGTACAGGCAGGGAAAAACTCCGAAAGCGCAAACACACGTATTTTAGAGTGACTTGCTTGCCTTCTCTCGTACCTTTTATTATTGAGGATACTCTTAGCTACTTTTTTGTTGACTAGTCACTCGTGTGCTCGCCGTGCTCCACTCCGCTCTCCACACCTCCTTCCCTGACCCTGCTCACCGCCCCCATCACCTGTGCATCAGCGTCCGCAGCATCGGTCAGCCGGCGTCTGGTGGTGGCCTCATTCGGGAAGAGGTACAGCAGGTCCGCAGGTTCCTCCACTCCTCTGCGGCGTGAACGTCGTCGCCTCTCTCTCTCTCTCTCCTTCTCTCCGGCGTTTCATTTTGCCTCCCTCTGTGATCTGCATTTGCATCCCTCTCTCAGCCCGTCGCCCGCCATGGACGGCAACAAAGATGAAAGTGAACGATGCCTTCGCCTGGTTAATGAGCTTCTCGCCACAAGGAACTTCCCAAAGGCCTACCGATTCGCTCAAAAGGCCCACCAGCTGTATCCCACAGAGAAAACTCTAGGTAAGTGCGCATTTATCACTTGTAATGTGGTCATTCGCCGTCACTAACCGGGCTACGACCTGTCCCATGATGACGCAGAGATGCAGGAAAAAGCTCGTAAACTGGCTGAGGCATTTCAACAAAACAACGATGAGAATTCGCAACCAAATTCTCAAGAGTCCAGTGCAAAAGACACGACGTCCAATGGCTCCTCCGCTTCCTCCTCGACGGGCGAACAAAGTAGAACTTCGGTTGATTATGTCAAAAGCTGTAAAGACTACTACGAAATTTTGGGTGTTCCAAAAACGGCCACTGAGGCGGAGATAAAGAAGCAGTACCGAAAACTTGCGCTACAGTTTCACCCGGACAAAAACAAAGCTCACGGAGCAGCCGAAGCTTTCAAAGCAATCGGTAATGCCTTTGCCGTGCTCAGTGATCCCGATAAGAGACGTAAATACGATCAAATCGGCCACCAAGACGGCTACGAAAACATTCGGCGAAGACACTCAAACAACAGTGGATTCGACTACACTCGTGGTTTCGACGAGGAGTTCAACGCCGAGGAGATCTTCAACATGTTTTTCGGCGGCGGCTTTCCTTCTCGCAATGTGTACGTTTACCGAAATGGTCACATGTACCAGAGGGCGAGCCACCACGGTGGTGGAGGCGGAGGCGGCGATTCCCAGGCCTCTCCAGGCTACAGTGTCCTTCTGCAGATAATGCCCATTCTGCTGTTTATATGCATTTCACTTCTTAGCACTTTTGTACCTGACACCCCCTACAGTCTGAGTAGATCAACGTAAGTTTATCCTCAAACTATGGACATGCTTTAAACTGACTCATCAACTTCTTTGTGTTGCAGAAAATATCCCTACCCGAGAGTTACTCAACACTTGAAAGTGCCCTACTATGTGAAGGAGAACTTTGAGCGCGACTACAAAGGCAGCATCAAACAGGTGGAATCTCACGTGGAGGAGAGCTTCATCTCCAACCTGCAGACGGCTTGCTTCAAAGAGAGAAACTACAGTACGTGTTATTAAGACTGCGGTTTCCTTGTTTGCTCACTAATCGATGACATCACTTCTAATTACAGAGGAAAATCTGCGATACCGAGCCCGATTTCTGAACGACGCCACGCTGGAGGAAAAGGCTCGCAAGTTCAGCACTCCATCCTGTGAAAAGCTTACCGAACTAGAGGCGTCCTACTATTAACAGAATATAAAAATATACACCTACTATTGAATTAAACTTATTGCTCTTTGGTAATCAGTCCTCTCCTCCTTCAACTTCTTCCTGCACCTTTTCCTTCCCCTTTGTTTTCGATTTTATGTTTTCCTCCTCCTTCTCCTCTTCCTTCTCTAGTGCAATTGTGACTGATAAAGTTAGCTCTAATCTTATTCTTATGATCATGTATTCCCCTTCTTCTTCTGAATGAATCACCTTTATACCATATCCCTTTTTCCAGATAAGAACCGCCTTCTCAAACCAACCGGAAGAAAAACCTTCTTCAGACCTGCAGATGACTTGCCGCCTCGAACAGTGTGATCAGTACTGATCCAGCGAGTGTTGTGACAGCATGACCAGTGCCACACTTCTATACATAAACACACACCCACACCTATATTATTTATTATTTCTACCTTGGTCATCGTCAACTGGCCTCAACTGGTCAGTACTGGTCTCACTTTGGACTGGGCGGCGGGTACAGCTTTGCCGGAACTGTTAATCTATTCTACCTGTAGTCGTGTGAACAAAGTGGCGACCTGTCTCGAACGGTCTCGCCAACTGCCCTTTGTTCGGTAGTCTGTACAGAAGCAGTCTTTTACTCAAATATAGTCCTGCACAAACACTCAAACACACGCCCACACACACCCACAAACACAAACAAACAAAGCAACACCCTCTCTCTCCATTGTTATAGTTTTGATAAATCTCTCTCTTTCTCTTTCTCAATAAATGAACCACTCTTCGTACAAAACTTTAAATAGTAAAAAGCTCAAAGCAGTTTAAGAAAAAAGATGTGAGGTAAAGGTAATCAAAAACAAAATTGAACAAGATATAGTGTGTGATAGCTATATGATGTGATATAGTTACAATGCTCAAATGGGGGTTGAGTATTTACAATTGATTCAAAAGAAAAATAAGAACATTAAAAAGTTAAGAAAGGGTGAATTGCCTAGCTTAGACGATACTCTCGTTTGTACTTGTTCATGTACGCTTTCACATATTCCTTCGTCTTACCCTTCACCGAATCCGAGCAAACCATCTTGTCGATTGGCTTCCCGATTGTCGATTGGTGCTGATACTCTTTATAAATCACGTGGTGGGTAATCTGCAAGAGAAATCGGAGAGAGGCACAAAGCGTTTAGCAACACAAAGCATGACTGAGAAATATAAAAGCAAACTTACTTTTCGTGCGAGGTACTTGAAATCTTCATGGCTGGTAATTCGACCGTGTTTGCAGTCTCGACGATTGTACGGCGACAGACACTTGACGACATGCGCTGACAGCTGACGGCGAATGCGAAACAGATGCTGCCGATTCTCAACGGGAATGTGCTTCTCAAAGTTCTGCTCCAGGTCGACCAGCTCCTTGTTCCGCTTAATTCGGAGCGGCAGTGGCTTCGACTCCGGTATGGCGATCATCGGCGTGAAGGTGCCAATCTGATTGCTCTGCGGTGGGTTCCACTGTTTGATTTGCTTATGCTTGTTGAAGTAGTACGTTTCGCCTTCAACCTCGGCGCAGCTCCAGTCGCAGTTCAGCGGCAGCATGATGTTCGCCGAGGTTCGCTTGGTGTAGCTCAGCGGCAACGGCTCGGCGACGTTCTCCCGCACGGTAACGCTCTGACTCAGATCACTGGGCATTGAGAGGAAGTAGGTTTCGCCAGTGGGGGCAATGTAGAAGATACCCTGGGGCGGGTAGATTTCATCAAAGAGTCTCTTCTCCATGCTCTCAAAGACGTCATCGCAGTAGTAGCGGACTTCATTGTAGTCCACATTGTCGATGGCATGCGGCGAGAGGGTGACATCTTTCTCCGCAGGGACACTGTCGTCGTCCAGGAGAATGATGAGTGGACTGTCAAACTTTGGCACAATGTCCTTCAGCGTCAGCTCAATTTTAACCTCTTCCTCTTCTTTTCTCTCCAGATATGCTTCCGTCTCCTTGTCGTACATCTTTTCAATCGACGTGGGGTTCTCTGAACTGTCACCTGAAGCCTCCGGTGCCTGTCCTGGTACTAAGGGCGACGATAGCTGTGGATGGAGTAGAGTGGAAGCACTACCAGGCGTGATCGACGTCGCCAGACTTTGACTGTCGACTGAAAGAGGAGAACCGTTTTCGAGTTGCTGCAGCGCCATCAGTGGGCTTATTTCCAGTACTTGCATGTTGTAGTCGTCCATTTGTTTTCTCCACTTTATCACCGCGTTCTGATACTCATTGTATTCAAACATTCGGCGCCGGTGCTCCTTATCCTGCTGCCTTTCAGCTAACGTTGCTGCACTTGCAGTATCATCCCTGTGATTTGAAGAGGTGTGGTTGTGGTTGCCGGTAAAGGGACGCCTTGGTGCACCTGCATCTCTGCCAGCATCAGTCAGACTTCTCAAAAATCGTCTTTTGTGTCCACCGGCATGGTACTCCTCCTCATTGGGACGCTTCAAAGCAGCACTGGCTGGAGTTTGATGTGTCTGCTTATCTTCGTCTTCCTTTGTCTTTCTATCTGCCTCTGCTTCATCCGCGTGACGTTTCTCTATTTCAAGGCGAGGAATTCGGAGCACAAAAATGAGATCTTTCCAGTGGTCTAGCACTTTCTGGGCAAGTTGTCCGATGGTAATGTTTTCCTCTGCAGTGGGAGAGCTCTTTTCAGTCTCCTCTTTTGCACTGCTCTTTGTGACCAGCTTTTCGGCAAGTTTAGGCAGCTCTTCTGCTGGTGACTTCTTCGCCTCTTCACTCTCCTCTTTGACGCCATTCTCACCATCACCACCAACATCATCACCGTTTACTTTGTTTGTTGCATCAGCATTGGGTGGGTTGATGTACTGGCTGCTTTCCGGGCTATCACTTTGTGCCCATCGCTCCACTGTTTCTAGCACCTTGTTGTGAATGAGCATCGTTTTGTTTGGAATCGGCAAAATCATCAGAAGCTCTAGTAGACGAGCTTTTAGCTGAATATCTTCAGCGTCATTTCCCGTCGACAACATCCAGTTCCTGATTATTTTTAAGCCGTAATAATCGAGGAACAGCCGCAGGTAGGCAATTTCAACAGTAGACATGATAATTTTGATCAATCTCAGCTTCAGATGCATCTTCTCTGTGCGAATCATAATCTGAGAAACTTCAAGAGTTGTTTGACGGTTTCGAAGGCCTCTTTGTTCATACTCCAGATTGCTAATTTGCTCTTCATCCAACTGAAAGTTAAAGTGAATATTAAAAACAACAAACACAAAAACAGCTGAAAACATACATCAACTCCATTGTAGAGATCATCATCTTCATCATTATCCTCTTCCTCTTCGTCGTCGTCGTCCTCCTCTTCCTCCTCTTCCTTCTCCTCTTCTTCATCACCTCCTTCTTTAAATTCATCTTTAACTTTGACAGGAGAAACCTTTTTCGTCTTCTTCTTTGACTTGTTGGCCTTTGTAGGAATCTTCGAGCCGTCAGTCAAGATGTTGGCACTCTTGCCGCCAATGTACCCGCAACACTTGTCAGTCCCACAGAAACACTTTTGCGCCTTTTTGCTGTAAAAAAAGGTAAAAAATAAAACCTTACCAGAAGACAAGAAGCAATTTAACAAACCCATATCGCTGAAACTGATAGTCAAAAGTGATTTCCTCGCCAGCTTTTACATGTTTGAATGTAAAGAAGCCAACTCGAAGTTCGCCGTTCACGGTCCACTGAAAGATCAAAGAAGCATATTAGTAAACCAAACTAAAAATTGAAAACAAAGTGCCAACACAAACCTTTTCCGTTTGACTGTTTGGATCACAGCTATGGTTGATGAATCGAGTTACGTTTCCCTTGCGAGTTGCATCGATAAACTCGTCGGCTTGCAAAACCATAAAATAGTGATGTTCCGTTTTTCGCTTTTCATACTTTTCGACTCTCTTGTAGAAATCAAACGCATCAACGACTTCGCCAACATATTCCATGATGAAGGAGTGCCTATTTCGGTTAAAGTCAGATAATTAGAATGATTTTATACACAACAAATTAACAAATGCTTCTTACGGTGGCAAATCCTCCAGTGTCCTGAGACCCCATCCCTTATTGAGCGTCTTGAAAGGTTCGACTTTTGCATATTGTTTCTTAGGTGATAATAAAAATGTTAAAACAAACCCCAAAACAAATGACTGGCTTTGAAAGCTTACCAATGAAAATCGCTTATTGGAGCAAAGGTCACCGAGAGTACATCGAGAGCCGCTATGAAAAAAATATACCAATTTTAAAGTGGAAAGCAAATAAAGAGGAGATAGCACATACCATTCTATCATAAGCATACGATTGAGGCAGTCGTCACCACACCCTCTAAACCCATTTATCCGATCTTCTTTTGAGAGGATGCAGTCGCAGACCATTTTCTTGATCTCCTTTTGGCCCTTTGACTTTTTCCTAAATAAATAAAAACAGATTGATGCTGAACAATAACAAACAAAATCAAGATGTTTACCTTTCACAACAAAAGATGTTCGCATCGATCTCTTCAAACTTAGGATAACTTTCATTGCAAACTTCATTGGTTCGGTTGAGAAGAACCTTACTGCTACTTTCCAGCTCCTTTGGAGGCTCATCATGTTTCTCAGCATTAATCGGTTGTGGTTGTGGCGCTTCAGCAATGGCAGTGATTTGGCAGTCCGTTGTAGCGGTGGGATGATCAAGCTCGTGTTTTTTATGATGTCTATGTTTCTTTGATTTACTTTTTTCCTTAGAAGCAGTGTGATGAGTATTTGAGAGTGTGTGGCCATTGCTGATGCCGTTTAAGTCCGGTTCTTTTTCTTTTTCTAGCTTCTTTAAACGTGAACTACGCCTCCGGCTTTCTCCTTGGCTGGCCGGTAGCAATACTGTTGAGTCCGTATTTTCAGTCTCTGTTGAGTCAACTTCATCCTTAGGAACTTTTACATTTTTGGGCGGTCTTCCTCTTCGCTTGGGTGCTGGACCTAGTGGTGTGGCGAAAAGAACGCTGTCCTCGTTGGCGGCGGCGGCGGTAGACGGCATGTTGGTCCCTTGCTGAGTGGCATGACTAGTAGGTGATGGGTCGCATGGTCCGGATGAGGGAGCCTCCACACTCATTGACGGGGAAGCTGATGCAGATGAAGGTGGTCTTGGGGAGAAGATGTCCTGGAATGGATCATCATCTAGGATCCGGGTGCTGGTAAATGGCAGTATGCGTGTGTGGTGTGTGTTTGTTTGTGTGTTGGTGGTAAAAGGCTGTTGGTGGTGGTGGTGGTTGCGAGTCTTGCAGGCAGCAAGTGCTGTCGACAAATGCTGCTGCAGCCAGCATTTGCAAACACAACAGAGCACAAGGCAGTCGAAATGGAAGACTGGGAAGACGGTGCTTTTCTCCCGAGAGGCCACCTCACCTCCCCGTGCTTTTCACTTTTCTCCTCACTCAGAAGAGGAGCACTGAGCAATGGTTCCATCGCTTGATCTTGCTATCGCCTCGCTGTGGGCAAAAAGCGACGCTCACTGTTCACAGAGGCTGGCGAAAGCGCCTAAAAGTTGAAGCTATAAGGGGCATTGAGAGTGGGAAGAGCTGGAGAACACTCCTCACGCGGGACCCGCGTTCCGATAAGAGCGACAGTGTGCGCTCTCAGTGTGGCTCGCTCTCTCTCTGGCTCGCCGGGGATCACCAACATCAAGGGGCCATGTGGAGTGGCAAGAGGGGGGGGGGAAGGACTGCAGGCTAATTTGTTATAATAGCACAAAAGTGTTGCTTTCTTTTATTACTTGCGAGTAAGAGGGAATACTTTGAGTTTAACAAAAAAAGTGGTAAGGAAGAAGGTAATCAAAGCGTAACTTGGCGAAATATATGACAGAGTATGAATAAAAACAGATCAGCATGTATAAACAAATGGTCACTGGTTGGTTGGTAGACAGGTTGATGTGTGTCTGTGTGTGGGCATCGAATGTGTGTGAATTGGGGTGAATGCAGCAGACAATTATGAGCTTGTGCTTATGTACAGGAGAGGTAATAAATAAATAGTAAGTAAAAGCAAAAGGTAACATAAAATACGCGCGCTCAGGCACTAACAGTCTCTACGATTGATTTCTTGATGATTTCCCCAAAGTTGTCACTCGAGGAGAGGTTACTTTCGGAGGATGAGTCTGAGGAGGAGGAGGACGATTTGGGATCAGCCTCGCTCAGCTCGCCGTATGGGGCGGAAACTGCGATACTGCTGCACTGTGGAAGAAGGTGGTGATCGGAGGTGCCTTTGGCACTGTAGTCCTGATGATCGTACGGATGATGGCCGAGACTCGAACTGTTGTTCGTCACTACGGTGTAAAAGCTGGAAGACGAACTGAGCGGTTGAATGTGTGTGAATGAGACGGGAGTCAGTCGTGAGTCCTCGTCGCTCGTGTTTGCCGCGGAGAGTAAACTTTCAGCAGAGGATGAAGATGCAATGGAGAGGCTCAAATCGATGTACTGCTGCTGTGGTGCTGGTGCAGCAATGCTGTTGCCCTCTGAGCCGACCATCTGCTGCTGCGAGCTGCTGTTCACTGGCTGTTGCTGTTGTTGTTGTTGCTGATGTTGATGTTGATGCTGCTGCTGTGGATGTTCGAGGGGTGGACTCGTCTCCGCAGAGAGGTGACTAGTGGTGGCCACGGCCACATTGCCGGTGCCCATCGAAGCAAAGTTGGGCTCCCCTTTGTGGAAGCCATTGCTGTAGCTGGTGTAGTGTGACGAAGAGCTGTGAATGTCGTATGAGTATAGAGAGGCGTGCTGCGATGGTTGCTGTTGCTGCGGTGGTTGCGGTAGGCTGTCGGTCATGGCGGAATACGAATTGTAGTGATTGAGGTGCATCGAGTTTGCCCCACCAGAGTCCTGTTGATATGAGTGGCAGTGACCGTTTTTGGTGTATCCAGTGCCGCCGGCAGAAAGGTCACAGCTGGAGTTGATTGAGGGAAAGGGCGGTAATGCGTTGCTGTTTGCACAGGAGTGCATCATGTCCTGTCCATTGGAAGCATACTGGTGAGACGACGGGTGAGGCTGTTGCTGTTGTTGTTGCTGCTGATGTTGATGTTGGCTGTACATTTCATGCGAGGTAACCACATTGACCGGCGAGTCGTCAGTCTTTTCGCCGTTTTCATTCTCAAACTCGTCACTTCCGGTGGTGTAGTCGGAGTTCTCCGAATACGAGCTGTCCGGACTGTACTCATTGGTGTGGTAGATGTTCGGATCGGCATAGCTGTTGTTCGGCGGCATTAGGTGCATGTGCGATGATTCGCTGATGTAGTGATGACCACTGTGAGCAGTGTTGTTGTGCACCATCGGCATGGCGTACATGCCCTGCTGCATACTTTGGCTGCACTGATTCGAAATTGGCGAGCTGTAGCTGGACGTGCACGGGGCTCCACAGTAGGCACCGTCAGTGGAGGATATTGTGGAAATCATGCCACCTCCATTACTTGTGCTGGAGGCCATTTGCTGCTGCTGTTGTTGCTGTTGCTGTTGTTCCTGTAGTGCCAATTGGTTTGACAAATAAAGAAAACAAAAAATGGTTGCAGAAATGGTCTCTCACGTTCGGCCTCAAACAGTGTTCAAAGAAACTCTCAAACCCATTCCAAGAAACTGCTGAAAAGAAAAGCAATAGCAATGTCACACATACCTGTTTCTTTTCCATTTCGATCTTCATGATGGTGTGGATAAAGTGCGTCCGCACTCGCATCGGATTGAATTCAATGCGACCATTTTCATTGTGGCAGCCGTCTTTGGAGCAGCCACATGGAAAGGCCATGCGGTCCACTTGGCACTTGATGCCCGCCAGGTAGCAGGCGCAAATCTCCGGATTGCAGTAAACCTGGCACTCACACCCACAGAACTCCCGAGAAATGCGAATGTCGCGACACTCCTCCTTCTCCGACGTCTCAATCTTTCTCACTCCCGAGGCGCGAAGCAGGGCTCGGCGTTGTTTAATTGGCACTGGTTGTAAGAAGTAGCAGTTGTCGTTCTCCAAGTCGACATCCGACAAGTCGCTCATATCGTCGTATGAGTCATCCTCCGACTCCGACGTGGAGGAGTGTTTATTCATTCTGGCGAAGCGTCTTTGGCGTTGTAGAATCTCCCGATGAGCTCGCTTTCGCTCCTCCGCGTGAGTCTCAAGTGTGAAATTGCGAATGTACGTGTGGGAGTTTTCCATGCCCAGCGTGGAGCCGCCCTGGCTAGGAATGCACGTAAAGCCTTGTGACCGACGAAAGTAGTACACGGTGACGCCATTGAAGACGACTGACCGCTTGCCTTTCAGCTTTCGTTCAGCTGTTTTGAGGATAGATTGAGTCCTTCTGCTGGGGACATGCCTAATTCCGGAACTAGTCGATGGCGTCATGTCTGGCTCGTCTAAAGAGGCGTTTACTGAGGAGGAACTGGTGGCAACTGCCTGCTCCTCTGCATAGCTAGGCACCTCTTCAATCACCGCATCGTCGACGGTCACGGCATCTTCATTCAATGGTTGATCTTGGTAGATTTCTCCTTCTTCAATGGATGAAGTTGGCTCCGTAGAGTTGGGAGATGCACTGGGTGTTTCATCATGGGATGGAGCAATGTCACAGCTGGGCTCACAGGTGTCGTCGATGGAAGAGCTGGATGAGGTGGCGGTCGTGCTGGAGGTGGTGGTGGAGGTGGTGATTGTGGTTGGATCGTCAGTGGAAGCATCGTTGTTTGAGCACCTAATCGTTGTTTCAGTAGAGGTGGATGAGTGATTTGTATTCGAACTAACGAGATCGATGGCGTTGTCCTCTTCGGCAGTGGCGGCATCAACATTGCTGTTTGTTATTGCTGAGGTGCTAGGCCCTGAAAGGCCACCAGGTTCACCAGTGGCCTCCGCGGCAGAGTCCACTTGGATGCACTTGTCTGAGCTAGACCTGGGACTGTCGTCCACTCGAATGATCTTTGTGGCTGGTTTGGATATTTCCGAAGAATCGGCCTCCTCCGCCGAAACCTCAGAGTCTGAGTGTGGCCGTTTATGCATCTACAGTATTTTGAATACCAAAAAGGGAAAAGTAAATTGCAGTTTAGAAAGAGTGAAATTAAAAATATAAAGTAGGTATCGTAGTAGCAGTAGTACAACTGTATACAAACATATTTGTCATAGAGAAGAAAAACTCAAGTTAGCAGTTGTTCATAAAAGTGGCAGAACTGTGTTTGTAGCTGACATGCACAATAGTTATTGCATCAGAGCACGAGCAAGACGCGCCGTTGGTGGGTTAATGAAAGCTCTATTTTATTATTTCAAAAATAAAAAGTGAGCCTGGAAAACAAGGGACTTACATTGGCTAAATGGCGTGGAGGAGCTCTGCCTCGAGCCAGCGAGTTAGCGATTCAAAGTGGTGGAATTTACTGGTGGTGGTGATAATTTTGGTGGTAGAAGGCGAAGGAGGAGTAGGAGGAAGAGTGGAGACGAATGGCAATACGGTGTGCGCGGTAAACCAGGCGATAGTGAAGAGCAGTGGTGGAAAGACAGCAAATCAAATGGCGGAGCGGAGAGAGAGAGAATGGCTGTCGTGACAAAACATCGACAGAGAGTGGGCGACTCTTTGCGCCCGTCGTACCCGAGCCTCGAGTCGATGGAGCGCCCAGCCACTCTTCTTCTTCTTCTTCTTCTGCTCCGTCGGATCGATGTTTGGCGTTGTAGAGGTGCAGCGAAGTTGCGCGCGCGGCTGGCAAAGACAGGCGCTTGCAGGAGAAGCAGTAGCAGTGGCAGCAGCAGCAGCAGCAAATCGCGACGCAAAGTCACCCGAATCGAAATATTTTTCGCTGCTGCCGCCGAAGGATCGGACTTCTACGTGGGGGCTGCTGCTTCAAGCCAAGCAAAGGCGCGCGCAAAGAGCAAGCTGGAGAGAACGCTGTAGCGAAGCTCGAGTCAATGAAGGAAGGAAAGGAAAAAGAGAGAGAAACGACGCAAGCTGTTCTTGCCACTGTCAGTGGCCAGCAGTGAGCGAGTGAGCCAGCGAAGGAGACAGCCAGTGCCGAGTTTGATGGGCAGAGGGAGCAAGAGAAGCGGGAGAGTGAGGGGGAGGCACCGAGGAGGGAGGGGGAAAGCACTGGCTGAGCAGTGCAGCTGCAGATCAGCGGAGGTGAACAAAACGAGTCCGCCGAGCCAGTCTCGCGGATTGTGGCGTGGCAATGGTGCTAGTGGTCGTCAGAGTGCTCTGTTGGGAAGGACGGCCTCAAAAGGGCTCAAAAATTAAAATGAAGTATATGTGCGGTTCGGGGGTTTATCTCACTGCACCACTTCCGGTTGTACCTTAATGTTTGGTCAAATAGGTGCGAGGAGCCTTAAAACTGGCTTCAAAGTGGGGCCTTTGGCTGTGTAGTGCTTTTCCCGTAAAATTACAGGGAAACTTCTTCTGTGCGGCCAGAGGTGCAACTTTGAAGCCATTTTTCTAGCCTTTGGGCACCTGTTTGACCCTACAAATTAGGTATCACAGGAAATGGTTTGACGAGTAAAATTTAGAAATATTTTTAAATTCGATTTAAACATTTTATCCAATTTCAGTAGTTCTCCAGTTGTGTTCTCTCTCTCTCGCTTCTCAATCTCTCCAGCGACGCGAGGTCGACCAGCAGCAGCGGCAGCAGCAGCCACAGGACAGCAGTGAGAGCAAAGGAAGATGAAAGACTTCGGAACCACTGTAGGCGAAGGAGAGAGAGAGAGAGCACATACGCCATGTAGAGGTAGTAAAAGAAAGAGAGACTGGATCGATGTGCAAGCACTGCAGCCACCACCACCACCACCACCACCACCACCACCACCATCGCCATCTCCACTTGAACCCGCCACTGCAGGCAGCAGCAATTTCTCTCTGTCTCGACCTCGGTCTGTGTGTTCCATTTGGCAAGCTGGAAGCTCTATCCTATCTCAGCAGCGGCAGCTATAGCGGGCGAATGGGAAAAGGAAAGGACAGAGATTCACCAAACAGGCGAGCACACCAAGCAGGAGCAATGAATGAAATACTACTGCGCAGAGATGCAGCCTGACTGCCTGCCTGTCCTGACATCCGCCACAAAGTACAGCTACACTTTTTTTCTCTTCTTCTTGACGCCCAATAGCCGCGTACAGTGCGCGTTCGCAGTGGCTGCACTACACTTGACAAATGGAGAGAAAGGGAAAGAGAGGCAGCGAAAGGCCAGCGGAAGCAGTCAGTCGAGACGGTCTCTACTTTGCTGGAGAATTTCGTCCAGACGTGCAAAAAAGGTTTTTTTATTATTCTTTTTAAGTATATGTAGGTTCTTCTTTGGATCACAGCTATTGACGTAGCAGTGAGCGTACCAGTGGAGCGCTCAGGCAGTGCGCTCTACGCCACTGGACGCGGCTCGATGCCATGTGCAAAGATCATGATCAGTCCTGGCTCGAGGATCATGTCGCTGTTCATGTGCTGGTTCTCGCTGCTCATCACCACCACCGCGTGATGGCCGGGGATTTTCCTGCAGTAGTAGCTGTCAAAGACCTCGCGGTTGATCTGCCGTATCTCCAGTGAGCTCAGTCCTGGCGGCCACTTGCGTTCATGTGAATTCTCCATCAGCTCATTGACGATGAGCGTCGGACAGCCCGAGTCAATGAGCGACTTCTTGACTAGATCTTGCAGATCACTGTCAGGGGTGCTGATCAGGCCTCCCCACCTCAGCACTCGCGCCCTCGGCAGCGAGTTGCACCAGAAGGGAATGCCCACAGAGTAGTGCTGCATGGCCGATGTCTCGGGCATGTCGGGCATTAGCTGCTTCACGCAGCTTTGCAGTGTGCTCAGCGTCATTCGCATCTCGTTAAACTGCTGTTCCCACTTTTTTGCCTCCTTTTCCATCTTTAAGCGAAGGTCTTTGATGCAGTTGTGACTCTGTTACAGATAAACACTTAATGGTTAGCGAAACATTTACTCCAACGCAGTTCAGTGCAATATTCCTTACCGGTAGCTCGTCCTTTGGAATGAATAGCTCGCAGCCTTTGTCGCACTCGACTGGGCGCTTTGGGTTGAACTCGCACTCGTCTCGGTGCGCCGCCAGAGACTCTATCTTGACCACTAATTTGCATCCATATTGGGCATTATCGCACGTTATGCTGAGCCGAGACAACAGGTTGCGCAGAATACGAGGTGCAGGCTTCAGCTTTGTCGTCACTGGCTGTCGGTCAATGGGGCAAGTGCTTTGGCGAGAAAACCATTCCTGAAACGGCCATCATTAGCTCTCAAAACTTCTAGACAACCGATCCACTGTTACACTCACTTTGATGCATTCTGCGCAGAATGCGTGCTCGCACACAGGTGCCTAGAATAACAAAGTAATTAGATTCAGTGGTATTCAAAAGTAATCACTGTGAGCATTACCTGCAGAGGATCTTCGAGAACACCCGAGCAGATTGGACAGATCAGCTCCTCGTCGACATCCCCGTTTGGGAATCGACTTTTGTCGTAACCCATTGTACAATATACACAAAGTTTTATAACTTAAAAAACGCTGATAAACCCATGATAAGTGGAATTTCTGCCAGTGAAACAGATGTTTGCAAGAAGATACACAAACCCCGACGATCAGAGCGCAGAATCTGGTGGTGGTCGCCATCCAACGGCAGTAGAAATAGCCAATTTGGCCAAAATGAAAGTGCCAGCCTTATCACCAGCACTTGAATTCACTATCAAACCGCCCAGCTGTCAAACTGAGAACATCTTTTTGTTTATTCAAAGTTCGTAGATTGAACAAAAAAATAACTTTATGTAATAGAGGTAAAGTGCATAGAGATGAAGTGAAAAGTTAACGTGCGCGACAATGTAAAAATGGATGTTTAGGATTTAGGAGCGAGAACAGGTGTATAATGAGCGGGAGTGGTGTACAATTACAGTTGTATAAAAATAGATTATATGAGATAAGACTTCCAGATGAATGTTTTGCAGTGCGTTGATTTACGGTTGTTCAGGACCATTGGGTGGTGGTGATGGGGATGATGATGATGATGGGTGGAAGATGGCATTCTGGTTTTTGAATGAGCTCATGCAAATTGGAAAGGAAATGTGATGAAATTATATAATCAGATGAGTCGTGGCGTGTGATTCACTCAAGGAAATGTACACGATAAAAAAAGTGTAACCATCAATAGATCTAACGGTTTGTCGGGAGGCAAGTAAGGAAAAACACAACTGTCGAGGCGAAGCAAAGGTCTGCAAGAGAGCTGCCCTAAACTAGACGCTTATTTGGCCGACCATTTCTCGCGTTACAATCTCTGGCTTATCATTCGATTCTCCGTCGAGACCAAGGTCAGTCTGTGAGATGATCAGGGCGTTATCCTCTCCGCTAGTCACCTGCACCTGAATCTGCTGAGTTTGAGCTTGGTTTCGCCTTGCTTGATGCGTCTTGAGATGCTTTGATAAGTGGTCACTTCGCATGAAGCGTTTCAGGCACTCGGCACACTGAAACCTCTTTTCGCCTGAAACATCAAATGGTTGAATTGCATGTTAAATACCGTCAGTGTTTAAAAAATGACATCACGTACCTGTATGGGTCCGACGGTGCCGCTGAAGCTCGTCTGATCGAGTGAAACGCTTGCCGCAGAAGAGCCAGTTGCAGACAAACGGTCTCTCGCCGGTGTGCCACCGAAGGTGAGCTCTGAGGTGGGAAGTCTTGCCGTAGACCTTCTGACAGCCGGGAATGTGGCAAATGTGCTGCTTCTTTTTGGTTTCACTATTTCGTCCTTCGCCGTCGCGACAGTTGGGACAGGTGCAGGCGACTCGGCGAAGCTTCCGTGGAGCACCTCCATCGTTGCTGGCATTTGGATCGGTGGTGAAGCCACCTGCTTGCATGGCGCCTTGAACCTGGACATTGGCCGGCGTGGCAACTATCTGCCATTTGTTTGGATCATTCGGGTCTTGCTGAATCTGCTGCGTCATTATTTGGCCATTACCGCCAATCTGAATGGCTTGAACCGGACTGAGAGGACCCACTTGTCCATTGGTTGGGTTGGCAACGAGTTGGCCTGAAAAAGCAACATTCAAACTTGGTAAAAAAGTTTCAATTTAAAACTCAAAGTCCTGATTACCTCCTTGGAGCTGAATTGTCTGTAGCCCTTGCAGGCCTTGAATTCCTTGAAGACCCTGGAGCCCTTGAACCTGAATGACATTTTGGCCCCGGAGATTACCATTCAGAAGATCTAGAAAGGAGAAACCGTGTTAGAAAATACCTGCGCTATAAAGTTATTTGAGACGAAAACGACCTTGGTACTCACCTCCAATGTTCAGCTGATTTGTGGGGGGCCAAACAGTGGTAGGAGCGGATATGAGCTGACCAATCTGACCATTTGGTAACTGAATGTTCGCTAAGATGGTCTGACCAGAATTGGCACTTGTTATGGTGTTTGCGTTTGTCTATTTGTGATTAACAACAAAACATTAGTTGGCTGCTGGTGGGCAATGGAGCAATCTTACTATTTGGTTGGTGCTGTCCGATGGCTCTTGCTTTATCGTCGTCTGTCCAGATGCTTGAGATACTTGGATGGGCGTCATTTGAACCTTTGAATGTGAAGCCGAATGTTAGCACTATTAAAGCAAAGTGATTGCAGTCATCAGCGAACCTGTTGGAGTTGAGGCATGACCTGCGTGGCGATTTGTTGTTGTTGAACATTGGCCGAGTTCAGCTGCTGCAGGGCTTGTATGGGAAATTGAATGGTCTGTAGAATGGCCTGGCCATTCTGAGTGGAAATGGTTTGTACGGGAATCGTCTGTTGAATTGCTTGCAAGTTGCCGCCAGGTAATTGCAGTGCTTGCACCACATTTCCCTGCCGAACTTGCATCTGCTGACCGTTGCTGATCATGGCGTTTCCTAAACCTTGAATGTACACTTGCTGGCCAGGCTGGGCTTGACCAGTGGAGGCATTGGTTCCTTGGCGCACAATCGACTGATTAGGCGATAGTAATTGGCCCGCCGGAATCTGGATCTGCTGTCCATTCTGAATAATGAACGCATCTTGTCCGTCACTAAGTTGAATTTGCTGCGGCTGGATGATGTTGTAGACGCCGGCATTTGCGCCGGCTTGTGTCAGAATTTGTGTCGCTTGGTTGGAATTGGTAACTGTTGTTGCGCCTTTAAGGGTTGTTGTTGCATTTGTAGCCTGTTGTGAGAGTGAAAGTAATTGTCAGTAAGTGTGGGCAAGGCAGTCCTACAGTGTACAGGGCAGAAGTTGTGGCGCCAATGCCGCGAGGCAATATAGTTTGTGAAAGAACAGCGCCAGAAGCAACAACAATAACAACAACAAAAACAATGTACAGTACCTGAGTGTCATGACCGTAAAGCGCCTGGTTCTCGTCGGCCTGACTGACAGAGGCACTCATTGTGGTGGTGGTAGTAGGCGCAGGCGGTGATGTCAGACTCGCGGGGTTTCAATCAAACGAAGTGACCACCAAGCGGGCAGGCGAAGGATGTGTTCCAGTAGAAAAAGAGGCGGAGGAGGAGGAAACGAAGGAGATTCCCGTTTAGGTTACTTTAGGTGTGTTGGTAGGCTTAGCGTTCCTGCCTGCACACAGGGGAGAAGGCGACAGTGTGGCGCAGCCCAGTTCAGCAGAGCCTCGGAGTCCTCCGGATGGCGCCGTAGATAAGTGCACTGGCGCCCAGAGATAATCGACACTGTCAGAGAGATGTTTGCTCCACCTGAATCGGAGGGGGTTGGAATCTTGGGCTCGGTCAATTCGAACCGCGATCTCGGGCAAGGCGTGTAACCGCGGCACAACGCAGCCAGACGGGTGGGAACTGGGATGGACAAAGGCAGCCTCGATGATGGCGAGTCTGCGTTCAGAACGCAACGGCAAAATGACGAGGAGAGAAAGAGAGGCAAGGCAAGGCGAGAAGCACGCACAGAGAAGCGAAGGAGGCAAGGAGAGCCCACAGCGCGCGATAACAGCTGAAGGCAGCAAAAGAGAAAGCGCTCAACGGAGAGCTCGGCTTGCTCTGTCTGTGTGTGTGCGTTGGGGCTGCGTTGCCTCATCACAACGTTCACTAGTCGTCTGCGGTGAATGCGGTAAACACTGGGCAGCACCGCCCTCGTGGTCCCTTTTCAAATCGAGGGAAAGTGCTCTTGCCTTTCACAGTGCTTTGTCAGGGCCTTTCGTAGAAGATGGATGTAGACGGAGGAGAGAAAGAGCGAGAGAAGGAAATGATACGCCGAATATTTGGAACGGTAGTGAAAAATACAGCCCTTTTGGTCCTCCAGGTTGCACCAGATTTTATACAAGTAAGAGAGAAGAAAACAATTACGTACAGCGCAGTGGTAGCGGCTGCGGCAGAGGGGGCGGATGTAAACACCCTCGACTGGTTGATCGAGACTGCCCAGTGGAGGTCGGTGTCTCCTCCTCCTCCGCCTCTTCTACCACGGCCACGTGCCGCCTGCCATCACATACACAGACACAGCTGACTTGCTAAACAAAAAATACAAAATGACTAGTCGTTGGTGGTGGTGGTCGTCGTTGTCGTGGTCGCCGTGATGGTGGTCGAGCATCTCAGACTGGCGCCTGCCGATTGATGACCGGATTCTTCGCAAAGAGATACGATGCATAGGAAATGACCACAATGGAGATCAGAGTGAAGCTATCAAGCGGAGTGCCAAAGAGCCTGAACAAAAACAATGGTCAACAATGAGAAGATTTACAAAGGACACAACCGCCTACCATAAGCAAAGGATGGCCGTGAGAAGCAACTCGATGCCGGTGGTGTAGGCCTTCATGATGCTGTTGAACTGCAGAACAAGAGACAGAATTAACCGCAGTTTGCTGAAGAAAACGAAATAACAAACCATTTTTATGAAGTAGCTAGTGGAGAGTCCGCAGAAGGCACTGACGCAGATGATCGTCAGCACAAGGATGTTGCTAAACATGTCAAAATTGAACAGTGGCTTATCTGCAGCAACGTCACTGTGACCGTAAGTGACCACCAAAAGGTTGCAGAGAATGGAGTCAATGTACATGAAGCAATTCTGAATCATCAAGTGCACTTCGGTGGATTTGATCTCTTCCTTGTCCAGTAGTATCGGCTGACTTTGCTGCTTCTTCAGCAGGTACTCATTGTAGACGCCCGCCAAGCAGGAGCAGAGAATCTGCACAGCAATGAGCAAGAGGGCACCATTGAAGAAGGACCCCACTCCGACCTGGCCGCTTTTCATCTTGCTCAAATCGAACGCGCCCATCTGCTTGATGATGCATCCCAGGGTGAGTAGCAGCAGCGATATCCATTGCGCCCGGCTGAGCAGACGCTGAAAGATGATCTGGTAGATGACTCCAGTGACGGCAATTCGAAACTACATTCGGAGCAAATTCTACTTAGACTACGTTCATGTAATGTTCCCGAGCTCCTGAACCTTACCTGGAGGAGAATGTAGTAGGTGGTCGGATCAAAGTACGACAGGCTGACGTAGGTGAGGTTGTTGTAGATGCAGTAGAGAATG